GTACCACACGTACCTACACACTGTACAACATACACCTACACACTGTAACACACACACACACACACTGTACAACATGCACCTACACACTGTACCACACACACACACACACACACTGTACAACACACACATACACACTGTACCACACGCACCTACACACTGTACCACACACATACACACACTGTACAACACACATACACACACTGTACCACACACATACACACACTGTACAACACACACATACACACTGTACAACACGCACCTATACACTGTACAACACGCACCTACACACTGTACCACACACACTGTACCACACACACTGTACCACACGCACCTACACACTGTACAAAACCGCACCTACACACTGTACAACACGCACCTACACACTGTACCACACACACTGTACCACACACACTGTACCACACGCACCTACACACTGTACCACACGCACCTACACACTGTACCACACACACTGTACCACACGCACCTACACACTGTACCACACACACTGTACCACACGCACCTACACACTGTACCACACACACTGTACCACACACACTGTACCACACGCACCTACACACTGTACCACACACATACACACTGTACAACACGCACCTACACACTGTACCACACACACTGTACCACACGCACCTACACACTGTACCACACACACTGTACCACACACACTGTACCACACGCACCTACACACTGTACCACACGCACCTATACACTGTACCACACACACTGTACCACACACACTGTACCACACGCACCTACACACTGTACCACACACATACACACTGTACCACACGCACCTATACACTGTACCACACACACTGTACCACACACACTGTACCACACACATACACACTGTACCACACGCACCTATACACTGTACCACACACACTGTACCACACACACTGTACAACACGTACCTATACACTGTACCACACACACTGTACCACACACACTGTACCACACACACTGTACCACACGCACCTACACACTGTACCACACGCACCTACACACTGTACCACACACATACACACACTGTACAACACGTACCTATACACTGTACCACACACACACACACTGTACCACACACACTGTACCACACACACTGTACCACACGCACCTACACACTGTACAACACACACCTACACACTGTACCACACACATACACACACTGTACAACACGCACCTATACACTGTACCACACACACACACACACTGTACCACACACACCTACACACTGTACCACACGCACCTACACACTGTACCACACACACACACACACTGTACAACACGCACCTATACACTGTACCACACACACTGTACCACACGCACCTACACACTGTACAACACACACATACACACTGTACAACACGCACCTATACACTGTACCACACACACTGTACCACGCACACACACACTGTACAACACACACCTACACACTGTACCACACACACCTACACACTGTACCACACACACCTACACACTGTACCACACACACCTACACACTGTACCACACACACCTACACACTGTACCACATTGCATGCAGAGCTGTCATTGGCTGAGATCAGTCCGGCCGTGCGTCGCGACTCTTTGAAACATCTCTGTTGCCGGAAATACATCCGCGGAGGAGCCGTCAGTGTCTCCTCGATTAGAGCTCCTCCAGAGAGCCTCCTCTGCGCTCGATCCTCGATGTGCATTTAGAGAAATGAGATGTCCTTCAAAATGGCGTGCTGAAATTCATTGCCGGGTCACTACCGGAGGACCGAGGAGTCGAGGAGGGGAAATGAGAGAATTGAGAAGCCTTCAGTGTCAGTCAGTGCTGAGGATGTTGGTCCAAACCGTCAAACTAGACAGCGCTGATCAAATCACAATTCTCTTTCCTGTCTCTTGTCTCACATGTTTTTAAAACCTGCTAAGTTTGACAGCTTGATCAGAAATGACAGGACCTCTTGCACTTAAGAAAAAAGAAAAAAAATGTCTATATCAACCATCTATCTGATAAGACTTGAGTGCAGCATCATCACCCGACCCTGTCTCTTCCCCGCAGCTGTGTTTATTCTCTGATAAAGCCAATGTTCACACCCGGCTCAGCAGCAAACCGACTGTTACAGATAAACAATGGCTTGTTATTGTTATGACCCTATTTTCTTTCTTTTAATTAGATCTGGAGTGGCTGGCACTTCATCAACAGTTTATTCTCGTGTGTACATGACAGTTTTATTTCCTATCACGAACAGTGATAAACAATATTGCAAACATTCACATTCTCTGAGCCGCTGATACTTGAACCCTCCGCTCCAGGCCAATATGTTTCCTGCTCCCCTGATGTCTGTCTGTCACGGTCCTCATATTGAGGCTGTTAAATCACATACTCTGTCATAGCTGGCATGTTGTTTTATCATGCTTGGGTAGAAAACATCATGTGACGTAAGGGGCTTTTTGTTTTTTCCTGAAAATATTACGATACATCTGATCCCTGGCTTTTATACCTCTGAAATAGAGACTCACTGTTTTAGTTTTAATCCTATTTTGAGTGACTAAATGTATATTTTCCAAACCTCAGTTCGAAACATTTTCTACTTTTAGAGTTTTCAGATGTACCCCACTATTCGCTTGTAATAAACATTGAAAGATGTAGACAACTAGCCCCTGATTGACCCTCTCTCCCCCCCTCAGAGCTGCTGGAACCTGCCAGCCTCTCACGGTGACGGCTATGTGTAACCCGGAGTTTGAGAGCCTGTTCAAGTTCACTCACTTCAAACCCCATCCAGACGCAGATCTTCCACACGCTGTACCACACCGAACACCAACGTCCTGCTGGGGGGCGCCAACGGGCTCCGGGAAAGACCATCGCTGCAGAGATGGCCATGTTCAGGGGTCTTCAGCCAGTATCCCGGCGCTAAGGTCTGACCGGCTCTGTGTGCTTCATGGTTACATTAAAGGGGCCTTTCCTGTGAGGGAGGGGGGACTTGTTGCTGTCTTTCTTTTATGTTGAGCATTGAAAATCTTTACATAAGAACTGAGAAGTGCAGCACACAAGACTAAAATCTATTTAAATCCTTAACACAAATGTGGTAAACTAAATATGAAGACAATTTCCTATCTCCATGGAGATCCACAGCTGTGGAGCACTATAGGTGATCATGTGTCCTGTTAGGAATTTACATTGCAAATGATCAGTGTTTTCATGTAGTGAGTGTATGGTACTGTCTGTAACATACAGTGATGAGGACATTCATTTCTTTATGAGTAATCTCAATATTTGTAACCCACATTTTTTTTTTACATACACCTCCTACATACCTCATGAATGTGCATTGCTCCAGAAGCTAAACAGGGACACGCTTTTGGCTCAATAGTCTTACTTGAGGTCAAAAAAACAATGGCAGCTTTAACATCTACTCTGTGCAGTGATTGCATTTATATTTGTTCACAGAGAAAATAACTGTTTGGTATTTGGCCAACATAGGAGTTGTATCTGACGTGGATTTCCTGACCTCGATATTAACACGTTCTTTTATTGTTTGCATTCATTAGAAAACCTTTCAAAAGCAAGGTTTGGTGTCATGTTAAGGCGGCACTTCGTTCACTGTTGCCTCCACAGGAGTGCTGCTTGAGATGCCTCCAACATGCAAATGTATTGTTGGGATGTTGTTTTATTATATTCGTCAACCAGAGGAAAAACCTACCTGTGTTTCCATTGAATGACTGTTTATTATCTCTGTGTGGCCAGGTGGTGTACATCGCCCCCCATGAAGGCCCTGGTGAGAGAGAGGATCGAGGACTGGAGGGTCAGGATTGAGGAGCAACTGGGGAAGAAGTGAGTGATGGTTTTTTTGTATTTTATTATATAATTATGTTGCATGTTGGAGGAGCTCGGGGTCATAACATTTCATTGCCATTTCTACACTGTAGCTTATGTGCTTATGACATTAAAACCTTTGAATCTTGAATGAATGCATTTACGTTAGTCATGAGGATTACAGCTGCATGAACTGACGTCGTACAGCTTAAGAAGTCATGAAGAGTCTTGTGTGTAGATTGCATTGTTGGATACAACGGAATAAATCACTTGGTAATGTAATAATGAGAGAAAAGAGCAGGCCTCATGTGTTTCCTGATCTTATGTGTGTGTAGAGTGGTGGAGCTGACAGGGGACGTGACCCCCGACATGAGAGCTATATCACAGGCTGACCTCATCGTCACCACTCCGGAGAAATGGGACGGAGTGAGCAGGAGCTGGCAGAACAGAAGCTATGTCAGAAAGTGGCCATCCTCATCATCGATGAGATCCACCTGCTGGGTAAGAGGGAGGAGGAATCTGTTCTGTCGGTCAAACAGCTTGAAGGGAGCTCTTTGGAAGGTTTAGAGCTTTTCATTTAGCCCAATTCTTTCATTTTGTTATGGAATGTTTAATTTGGCCCAAACTGCTGCAGGAAACGTGACTTTGACAGAGCTGCAGTAAACGGATACAGCTCATTGGAATTAGCTTTATTTCCTCATATTATTTATTTTTACTTTTTGTGGTAAATTACTAATAATATTAAGTTGTTTAACTGTTGAAGGTGAATATTTATTATATATTTATAATAGATAACATTTAATATAATATATAAAATGATATATTAATTATAATAAAATATAAACAATTATAATGATATATATATATATATATATAGAATTATATAGTATTATATGAGATAATATTTGAATTATATTACATTTTAAATATAATGTATATTTAAAAAGAAAACTTGTGTTGCCCTTTTACCCTTACTAAACGTCATTTACAGAAAATAAGAAGCCGCCTAATACTTTCGACATAAGAAGAAATACATTTAATTTAAAACAACAAATAAAAAGAGATAGAGGAGCGGGAACAAGATGAGGGGAAAGAGACGAGGAAAGGAGAGAAGAAGAGATTCAGTTATTCTATTGGTTCCAATAGAATTCTAATAGAGAAAAGATGACCTCTCTAAGAGTCACCAGTTAACCTAGTTAACCTAACCTGTCTTTGGGCTGTGTGAGGAAGCCGGAGGAAACAAACTGCACACAGAGAAACCCAGAACTAACCACTGCAACTATTATGCCTGAGTTAGCAGTGTTTACACCAACATATTTCCAGAAGGCGTCCAAGACCAGAAACACCTTCCAGTGTAAGGGACGGTACCAACATGTCTTTAATGTACACTCTGACTTACCATTGTGTGGTTTTGACAGGGGAGGACAGAGGTCCAGTGTTGGAGGTGATTGTGTCCAGGACCAACTTCATCTCCTCTCACACGTCTAAGAGAGTCCGAGTGGTGGGTCTGTCCACGGCTCTGGCCCATACGCTCGAGATCTGGCCGACTGGCTGGGCATCGGACAGGTCAGACCCACTCAACACACACCCTCACGACGCACACACCACATTGATCTTTGGTTAGATGGAGGGATCATGTTCATAAAGCTGAGGGATAGTGTAGATGGCTGTGTACTGGCCAACAGAAACCCACAGTGTGTGTGTGCAGCGCTGTATTGGTTATGGTCCATTGTTTCCTGCCTCTTCATATCTGAGTGACTTTATATAATAACAGCAATTAGGATAAAAATATGCTTTTGGTTGATAGTTGATCTCTATAATCTCCTGCAGGCTGCGTCTGATGACATGCTTAAGTTCTAATCATCAGGAATGACTGGATGAACAACAACATGATACAAAAAGCAAGACTTATTGAAAGGATGACACTGATATGATTCCATACTGAGGTTTCCCATGCTGCTTCCTCTTGGGTTATGTTGGCACCCTTTATCTTTGCTTTGGCTAGTATCTTAAATGTAGGGTCGGTAAGAATGGAGAAACCAGCTCGAGTGCGCTAGAATTTGAAAGTACACAACCGGAAAAAATATGCCTCTTCCTTCAGACTTCCTCACAGAGCCCCTCCTCCAACACACACGAACGCGCACATGACCAATGAGGGCACGAGATAAGCTTGTGCGCAGATGGAAGGCTGACAGGCAGTTAGGCCATCCAGTTATTTTAGCTGGGCCGGCTCAGATGATTGGTCGTGCTTTTTACAGCGCTACGGCTTCCAGAGATTAATTTTTAATGTATTTATTGTCAAAGCATTTAATATATTCATTGCTATCGGGACATTAAGAGCATTCCATGGAATATAACAAAGTGTTTTCTGAAGTGAATTACCTACCCCACCTTTAAGATTGAAGCATACTATATGTTCCTTTTTGTCTAAGTTATTTTAAGAAATGACTATTCAAAATGATAAAGACAGTAGTAGTCAGAATAAATGTAAAAACAGTTTGTTATTATTATTTTTAAGGTAAGATGTCCTGAGAATGTCTGTTGGACCCACCAGTCTGCTTGACATGATGGACACATGTCAATTCAAGTCCATGTTAAACATACCGCATGTTTTGGATACCATACATTATGAGAGCGTTTCTATGTTTTATTTTTTAAGTTTATATTTGATACGGTACAATGTGTCAGACACATGTATCTCACAAAACGCTGCTACCATCCTAACATGTTTACTAATTATTCTTACGATTACAACCTTTCTCTTTTTTTGCTTCTGTGCAGTCACAACATCATATACCCTGTAGGGATCAGTCATAACGCATCATCAAAGACACGTTTCCAAACCTCGTCTCTGTTGACAGAGCTGTGGAGACAGGGGGTGTTTCTCAATGTCGAGTAAAGCTGCTCCAGAGCCACTATTTCAAGCATGCTACGTCATCGAGTGCCGCCGAAGGACTGTTCCACTGTCCAGCATACTTGGAATTCTACCGAGCCCGGCGTACTTCGTTTGGAGACATTTCGAGGCTGCACATGTGTAGACTCCGCGGTCTTAAAATCCCCACAATGCTTTGCGCACGGACCAATTTCCCCAAATCTGTGGCGGAAAATGTAAGGCGGGGCCTCTCATATGCTTGCTCGCCTATTCCACTCTTCGTTTTCCAAATGCCAGGAAGGATTCTTGCCTCGCTTCTGAAGCAAGTGACTCGGAAGATATGTGCTACCAAGCAAGCGTCCTCGAGATTGACAAACACCCTGTGTCAGTGAAGCAGGTTGGGCTTCTTGTCCTCCATACATCTGCCTGCTGGCTGCTGTTGGGCTCAAATCATTATCAGCTGCCCCCAACACTATAGAGTGGTGCAGGAATGAGTCCTGAATTTGAAAATGAGTTAGCAGTTTAGCACTTCTCTTCTTCTGGTAGTCAATGGGTTTTTGAACCCAAAATAAGGTGTGGTTAACACAATCTTAGGAGATACTACATTACGGTTGCTGTATTACTAAACACAATCACGTCGATTATTAGCCGTATTTAGCTTAGCGTTGGTGACGCACAGCCGTGATGTAGTTTGTCGAAGGCCTACGTTAGCATTTTATTTCTGGTGTTAATATGTGGAGATGTCCTGCTAAACTAAATGTATTCCCCTGCCCTTAGCTTAGTGGAGGTGACTTTAAGTCATGTGACCTTGATGTAGTGATCATCACAGTTAGCTAAGTTGTTTAAACTATAGCTATTTATTTGTCTGATGTTTGCATTGATTCTTCAATTATTATAAAAGTGGTGTTTATATATGGAGTTTATCTGGCTGAAGAAAATGTGTATGTATAATAAATGTGCATTTTCCACAGAGCTTATTTTCTGTAATAATCCTAAATCCAATGGAGAAATCCCATTTGCTTTTTGTCCAGGGAGCCTTTGTGATGCTAACTTCCTCTTACAAAAACACGCTGCACCACTGTAAACACACCAAATAATGCATCTTACTCTGACAACATCCTGTAGCACTCTTTGAGTTGTGTTCACACACTGCCTCCTGATCACACAGTGAGCACACACATGAAGGGTTAACCAGCGCAGCGGGGTCCAGCAGTGCTCCGGCCCTCAGTGACAGTGACAGACAGTTTACATTACAGCCAGATGGGCTCCATGTTGCCAGCTGCTCACATTAAATCTCTTCTCCCTTTTCTTTCCTTTTTTCTCCCCCCCCCTCTCTCCCTTTCTTCTCTGTAACAGGTGGGTTTGTTTAACTTCCGCCATCTGTTCGCCCTGTACCGCTGGAAGTTCACATCCATGGTTTCCCGGGGGCAACACTACTGCCCTCGCATGGCCAGCATGAACAAGCCTACCTTCCAAGGTGCAGCTCCATGTACACCTCCTTCACACATGCTTTATGTCAGATGTTCGTTCCATTTGTAACAGGTTTCTCATTGAGCTGGAGTTACATAAAGTCACTGCTGCTTCGATACAAGTTATCTTTAGATATGTCTTTCCACTGTTTTAGGTTTATATTCACTGTTTATTTATTTATTTTATTAACTCATGTGAAATGCCTTGGTAACATGCTTCTGTAACAAAACAATGTTCCAATTTGGGATCCAAAAAGTACTAATTCAATCTATTTAAAGAGCTATTTAATCATTCCTGCTAAGCTAACGTTATTATGAAAAAGTAGGCTTTTAAAAAAAAAAACAATTGTTCAGATTTTCTAAAAGTAATTTATACCACATTTTGATCCATCTTCAGTTTTCCTTCAGCCAAATTAAAGAACTAATGGGCCTAGCGCTGAGTACCACAGACAGGGTAGAGAAGTCAGAAAGAGTCTTTCACTGGTTTTTGTTGACAGAAAGAAGGAACATTTCTTATCCTAACCCAGATTGTTGGAAACACTTGCATCAAAGCACACACAATAATATAAAACAGTTTCTGAAGCAGTGAAAAGTAATAATGCATATTGAAACTTGTGTCTTTGCAGCGATACGCAGCCACTCCCCAGCCAAACCAGTGCTGATCTTTGTCTCCTCCCGACGGCAAACCCGACTGACCGCCCTGGACCTGATCGCCTACCTGGCCACAGAGGACAACCCCAAACAGTGGCTGCACCAGGACGAGAGAGAGGTACGCTCACTCTCTCACAGGGTCCAACACACAATCACTGTAGTTATGCAAATGAAATGGAACACAGTAGATTGGAACAGTCATCATCCATGAAGAGGGTCAGTGTGTGTAAGGTGAGGTGCACGATAGCATACTGAAACATAAGGAGGTAGATTCCAGCAGGCATCCATTCATTCTTCAATATATCGTAACCCACCGAAACATAGAAACAAGAAAGCATTTCTGATATTTAGAAAACGAACTGTTAGAGAGAATGTTTACCATTCTTAACAAAAGGAGCTTAGAAAATACATTCACATTTACCATCTTTATTCTGACACATTTACACATGTAGGCAACTTTAAGTTCTGGTAAACAACATCAGATCTGGGGACGTAGACAACTGAGACAATCAGAAAAATATGTGCAAATATAACCACATGTGTCTGTCTCATGCATTCCCTTCATTTCTCATGTGTCTTTATTTCTGTGGAAGCACTCCATTGCCCCCCCTTTGCTGAATTGTGCTGACGCTCGGTTTCTCTGTGTAAGTGGTGGTTTAAGTGTAATCACAGATGGAATTCAACCCAACTTGTGCCGGAAAAGCCTGTGTCATCCTCCATTATATTGTCTGTGCATACGTTGGGATCAGTTCAAGATTGGAGCAAATAGCCCCTCTGGGTTCACATTTGAAAAGTTTGCTATTATTATTACAACACTGAGATATGCAGGCGTGATGGAGCGTGGACCGTATGAACCTCTCATGAGAGAACTTTGTAGTGGCTTTACAGTCACATGGGTTTGTTAAAGTGCGTAGTAAAGTTCTACAGGATTTTCCTCCTCTATCTAAAAAGCATTTTAAGCACTTTTTTTTTGGTTAGACACCTTAAACAAGATCCGTGGTTAACCCAAATAACGTAACCTTTTTTTCACTTCGACGTAAAATTATTATTTTTCTGCTAAGCAAAACATGTTAGTATCATAAATGTGTGTCCACTCCAATCCCCAGGCTTTTGGCAGAGGGAGCCCCAGCGATTCTAACTTCCGGGTCCCTACAAAAACAAATAATTTGTATATCATTGTCACATTATAGTTTAAACAACACTTATTGCAAGGTAAATATACTGCAGAGCAAGGAGCTATTCTGAAGGCAAGTTGAAAAGGCTGATGCCGGAGAGAGGAAAAAGCAATGTGCTTGGTTGGCTCATCTTTTTGGCAAATATTTTGTTCAAAACCATACTTCTGATTTAATTTGATTGTGTTAACCACATGACCTTTGCTCTGACTTCACCATGAAGACAAGTTAACCACATGTTACAAAAGAAGAAAATCCCAAAGCCAATTGCCATGAAAACCAGCTATCGTCAGGCCAAAATGTTAACTTTGCACATAACATATTGGACATTCTCCTTGGCAAACTGATGCTTTGTTTATATACTTTGTGTATAATGAACATCTTTAAGACGTTTTATTGAGCTGAAAGTATACACGGTTAAAAAGTTGCAGCATATTGATGGTGACCATTTTTCCTGAAAAACACATAGATCTTAAAGTGTATGTTAACCACTGTTTAATGCGTCTACATTTAGTTTAAGTTAGTTTCAAGAGGATGTGCTTCATGGAGACTTTTAATATATAATCAGCATTTTTGAGTCAGGAATACTGTGATTTCCATAAACAAACAACATGGCAAAGCATCACTGAGCTGTGTTCAGGCTCATCCATATTTGTTGTGGCACAAAGGACCATTGTTTATATCTCCATACAGGGTTAGGAAACAATGCCTCATTTTATAATGCTATTATTTGGTATAAACTCAGGGAAATCCCTACCTGACAATCAATCCAATCATTCCCTCCTCTGGTCACTATAGGTATACATGCAGCGTTATCACTACTTTGATTTATCCAAGTTTAAAAATGCTACATATGGAACCCTGCAGATGCACTGGCTCGGAGCAAATGTGCCGTCTTATACCCCTGTGTGTGTGTGTGTGTGTGTGTGTGTGTGTGTGTGTGGTGTGTGTGTGTGTGTGGTGTGTGTGTGTGTGTGTGTGTGTGTGTGTGTGTGTGTGTGTGTGTGTGTGTGTGTGTGTGTGTGTGTGTGTGTGTGTGTGTGTGTGTGTGTGTGTGTGTGTGTGTGTGTGTGGGTGTGGGTGTGGGTGTGGGTGTGTGTGTGTGCGCGTGTTCCGCTGACACATGCTGCCGCCCACTGCTTCTCTGCGCTGGGCCGTGTAGCAGCTCTGCGCCCTGCTGCTTGACTGACAGGCCTCTGGACAGAGCTGCTTAACTCTCCGCGGGGGGCACCCACTGCCTCGAAAACCCCCCCCGACCTGACAGCTCTTTCTTCCTCTGCCACAAACCCCAGCTCTTTTCCTCGGGGAATATCTCTACTCTTCCATTTTCTTACTCTCATATCCAGGGTTGGGAGGCTTTAAAAATGTATTGTGTTACAAATACTAGCTACCTGTAACAAATGCAAGGAACTTAATCTGAGTATCAAAATATAAAATAAATGTAACCTGATTACTACTTTCAGTAACTTTTGGATTACAAGGGAAACTAAATATCAATAAGATGTTTTTTACTGAAGTGTATTATGTAAGACAACAGAACAATCTTAGAAAAGAAGAAACCAAGATATTGATTGATTAATCAAGTGAGGGGCAGGGTCCTTTTCTCATAGACTTATATACAACCAGACTTCCACGTTGCCTTCACTTTTCAGACCTGGAGTTTCCCTCAGCCCTGTCCCTGTGTCACTGTACATTGCACCTTCTCTCAGTCAGTTTCTCATTGGCTGTGTGTATGTCTGTTGAATCAAAGTGTGTGCTCGTTGTCTGTAGATTGAGGCGATCATTGCCACAGTGAGGGATTCCAACCTGAAGCTGACGCTGGCCTTCGGGATCGGCATGCATCATGCAGGCCTGCATGAGAGGGACAGGAAGACCGTGGAGGAGCTGTTCGTCAACTGCAAGATCCAGGTAGGCCTCCCACTGTACACACACCTCCATCACTGCTGTACACACACCTCCATCACTGCTGTACACACATCCCCATCACTGCTGTACACACACCTCCATCACTGCTGTACACACACCTCCATCGCCACTGCACACACACCTCCATCACTACTGTATACACACCTCCATCACTGCTGTACACACACCTCCATCACTGCTGTACACACATCCCCATCACTGCTGTACACACACCTCCATCACTACTGTACACACACCTCCATCACTGCTGTACACACACCTCCATCACTGCTGTACACACACCTCCATCACTGCTGTACACACACCCCCATCACTGCTGTACACACACCTCCATCACTACTGTACACACACCTCCATCACTGCTGTATACACACCTCCATCACTGCTGTACACACATCCCCATCACTGCTGTACACACATCCCCATCACTGCTGTACACACATCCCCATCACTGCTGTACACACATCCCCATCACTGCTGTACACACATCCCCATCACTGCTGTACACACATCCCCATCACTGCTGTACACACACCTCCATCACTACTGTACACACACCTCCATCACTGCTGTACACACACCTCCATCACTGCTGTACACACATCCCCATCACTGCTGTACACACACCTCCATCACTACTGTACACACACCTCCATCACTGCTGTACACACACCTCCATCACTGCTGTACACACATCCCCATCACTGCTGTACACACATCCCCATCACTGCTGTACACACACCTCCATCACTGCTGTACACACATCCCCATCACTGCTGTACACACATCCCCATCACTGCTGTACACACACCTCCATCACTACTGTACACACACCTCCATCACTGCTGTACACACACCTCCATCACTGCTGTACACACACCTCCATCACTGCTGTACACACACCTCCATCACTGCTGTACACACACTCCCATCACTGCTGTACACACACCTCCATCACTACTGTACACACACCTCCATCACTGCTGTACACACACCTCCATCACTGCTGTACACACATCCCCATCACTGCTGTACACACACCTCCATCACTACTGTACACACACCTCCATCACTGCTGTACACACATCCCCATCACTGCTGTACACACATCCCCATCACTGCTGTACACACACCTCCATCACTGCTGTACACACATCCCCATCACTGCTGTACACACATCCCCATCACTGCTGTACACACACCTCCATCACTACTGTACACACACCTCCATCACTGCTGTACACACACCTCCATCACTGCTGTACACACACCTCCATCACTGCTGTACACACACCTCCATCACTACTGTACACACACCTCCATCACTGCTGTACACACACCTCCATCACTACTGTACACACACCTCCATCACTGCTGTACACACACCTCCATCACTACTGTACACAGACCTCCATCACTGCTGTACACACACTCCCATCACTACTGTACACACACCTCCATCACCACTGTACACATGCCCCCATCACTGCTGTACACACACCTCCATCAGTGCTGCACATACCTATTGACGTGAAGAAATGTGTAATGTTATAAAATATTTCCATGATCCTAGACAGGGGGGATGATGAGGCCTTATGCAGACTGTTACCTACACACTAGAGCAGAGTGATTTGATTAGTATTTAGCTATTATAGATGCAACTGCATATACATTCCCATTTTACCCATATTCCAACGTTTTCCTCAAACTTGATGTTACTTATTTTACCCTAGTTTTTTAAGACATTCTGTATGAGTTTAATTTCTTGTATATTGTTCATGTAATTATTGTGTCTGTGTTTGTATCATTTCTCCCCTTCTCTCAGGTTCTGATAGCCACCAGCACTCTGGCCTGGGGGGTGAACTTCCCTGCTCACCTGGTGGTCGTCAAGGGAACGGAATATTATGATGGAAAAACCAGGCGCTACGTGGACTACCCCATTACAGGTATAGCTAGACATTCTCTCATTGGGATCTACAGTTTGTTGTAATCTACCGTTAAATAAAGAATGTTCAAAATGATTACAATGTAGTGAAGTATCCATTCATGGAACTTAAAGGGATAATTCCTTTTGTTTGCCAACATAACAATTGTCTCACCTCACCATTATATATACATTCATTTAAATAATCACATTTAAAACAGACTGAGTCACATGTTAAAAACCTACCTCTTGGAGGATTTCAAGCCCTGGAAAAGTGACAACAACGAGAACTGGTATTACTTCTCTTGCAGCTGATTTAAAGAACAGTGGAACATGTGATGGTTGTGTGCTGTGTGCAGATGTTTTGCAGATGATGGGGCGAGCAGGTCGGCCTCAGTTTGATGACCAGGGCAAAGCTGTGATCCTCGTCCATGACATCAAGAAGGATTTCTACAAGAAGTTCCTCTATGAGCCGTTCCCTGTGGAGTCCAGGTAACACTAATGTCTCTGGGATTGTGGTGTTGCAGTTCAGTCATGCATGCATTCAGACAGGACCTTATACAGCACTTATTGGAGAGATATCCCTTAAAGCAGGGGTGGGGAACCTCCGGCCCCCGGGCCGTATACGGCCCGCGAGACAATTTGGTACGGCCCTCGAGGTAATTTATAAACACACGCAAAAAATAATTTTTTTTGAGAAATCTAGACCGCAAAAAAATTAAACAAGCGAGTGCCTGTTTTTCCTGGCCAAGGTCAGGGTCCTTGAACACAACACGAGCCTAACGTGTCATCACGTGGTATATGTCTCGTCTGACAGGGGTGCAGTTCTGACGGAGAGCACCAGAACGCGGCTCTGGCACTTCAGAAATTGCAGTACCCATAAGGAGCCGTACACATGCCGCAGTTTCTGAAATCTGTGATTTTAGTATTTTTAAGCAGAGGTCAATAACTTGTATACGGCCCTCGAAGATATTGTAAAAATTGAAATGGCCCTTGAGAGGAAAAAGGTTCCCCACCCCTGCCTTAAAGGCTGATATTGACCTTACACTGGCAATTGAATTATGGAACAGAAATATAACAGTTCAGGATTTGTCAGATTTTTGGAGTATCTAAATCCACATGTATTTAGGTATGGAGTACTATAAAAAAATCAAAAATAATACGAGACACATTATACAAAAAAACTATTTGTTAGGGGAAAAATGCCTGTATAAAGAGGTACAGTACAGTGCTGCACCATCAGTGTCTGATTTATTAAAACAACAACATTGTAACTGAGAAACACTTAAATGCTACATTTCAAATGTTTACAATCCATCACTAAATTCATGGCAAACTAATTTTAACATCATGCAATAACACTAAGACGACATTAGTTGCATTGAACTGATCTTTTTAATAAGTTGTACTTACAATGTAGTGAAACATGGGCTTGAGCTTCACTGAGGATCTTTGTCATTCTGACAGGGAGGCTAACTGCAGTTATTATTATTGTGGGTTTTCTCTGGAAGTGTTTCCTTGTACGATGTGAGGATCTAAGGACAGAGGGTGTCGTATTGTCATACTGATACTCTGTACAAACTGTGAAGTCCACTGAGACAAATGTAACATTTGTGATATTGGGCTATATAAATAAACATTGATTGATTGATTGATATTACACTTCGTGTTTTAAAATATGTGTAACTCTAGTCTTAATATAAAACCCACACTGCTCAAACTTCGTTACTTTTCCTAAAATGTGTATATTTATCTTCTTTTTTTTTTTTCATTAACATAAAATAAATCTCATGTACCCCCTGCAGTACTCCAACGTACCCCTAGGGGTCCGCGTACCCCCATTTGAGAACCACTGGTCTAAACATTAACAACTGTGCAACATTTTTCCTAAGATTTCCTAAGAAATGTATTTCATTCAGGAGCTATTTGATATTTAAATAATTGATTAAACAGTTGCTGACCACACATTGAATTGAGTTCCAGACTAAAGTCAAACATATTCACAGCTTTTCATTCTTTGAGCTTGGCTGCAACAATCAGAGTTTCCCAGAGTGCAACATACTGTATCATTTTCAAATATGTTGTGTTATACAACCATCAGTCCGAAAACCTAAGATATTCTATTTCAATATTAAGACAGGAAAAAGGCAGCAAGAATTCACATGTAAGAATTGTTTTGGGATTTGGCTTGAAAAATGTATTAAAGATGAATCTGAATTGTTAGCAAAGAATTAGCTCTTTATCATCAATCCATCAGAGAATCTAATTACTGATACAGATGTATTTCTGTATAAAAAAAGATCAAATTACATCTTGACAGGTTAATAATTCACTCTGTGGATTGCAAGTGATCAGTGTGTGACTGTGCCCCCCCCCCCCACCCCCCCCCAGCCTCCTCAGTGTGCTGCCAGACCATCTGAATGCGGAGGTGGCTGCAGGAACCATCTCCTCCAAACAGGACGCCATGGACTACATCACCTGGACCTACTTCTTCAGGCGGCTGGTGATGAACCCCAGGTGAGGGAACCTTCTCCCTGCAGCAGAGCATGCTCTTCAAAACTAAACACACATGCACATTCTCCACCTGCTCTCTCAACCTGCTCAGAGGAGTGCCATGTTCTTCGGTCAAACATCTGCTGTGTAGACACACACCATTCCAGAACATTCCAGCCTGCTGGTATTTGCACGGCTGTCATCCCACATTTACATTCAGTCCCTGACCGAGGCCTCGCAGTACGATCGCACCAACACAGGTCTGACACTCAGCTTCAGATCAGGCTGGGATTTAAGATCAATATACAGAAGAAAAACAATGACAAAGGATCAAGTGTTGCTGTAGGATTGGAGGAAAGCCTCAGACAGCATTTCTGGTATTCTTTTGGCTAGTGCTATGCTGATACATAGGGTCGGAGGGTCCTGTCAGTAATCCCCATTTAAAAAAAAGATATACCAGTAATCTGATTAGATCTTTCTTTATTACAACTGTAACGGAATACGGTCACTGTTTTTGTGTATGATTATATCATCTCGTAACACGTAATCTGCTATTCCCCAAACCTGGTAATACAACTTCCTGGTGGGACCAGGACCTTTGATATCACATCTCTAGCTCTCCTAACTGAACTGTCTCTCCCTGTGAGGTGAAATAACAAACATGTATAACATTTGTACAAGTCTACCCCTTTCTATTTGCTGCACAGTTATATTCCCTCTCCATACATTTGTTTGAGCCAAGACCGGCTGTGACGCTGCAGTTATGTATCGGCAGGGAGGCGGCGTCTTGGGTCAAATGTAATGCAACCTGCTTTATGGTCTGCATGGATGTGAAAGACTGCCAGAGGATCCCTGGGAGGACCAGGGCAATTTTTGCTCTGGAGAGTCAGGTCATTTTGGTTTCATGCGCCACTGAGGCAACTGTCATAGGAATGAACGAGGGTCCCGCCTCCAACGCTGTATCCAGTTATTCTTTATACACCAGTGCCTGCAGCTGGATTCTGATTGAATAAAAGGCTATTGATCGTTAACCTGTAGTTTACACAAAGTAAGGCCTACAGGCCGGCTATTACATCCGAACTGAATTTGGTTCCAGTAGGTCAAACATATTTTGTCTCAGCTGTATTCTGGCACTCTTAAATTCAGCTTATGTCATTTCCAATAATATAAGGTATTTTTGCCCTGAATTATCCATTATCTCCATCTGACACGGCTAATTCATCCACTACTGCTTTCAGCCTTTGGTTCCCACAACACACACATAGACAGTGTCCCATGGGTGTCGTAAATGTTCCGAGGCTGACTCGCTGTGCCATCAGGAGCCTAATGGTGATGATGATGCTCATGGCCATGACTTAATCAGAACAGGCCCGCCACCAGTAAAGATCTGTGAAATGTGTTCAGTAATAAACACATTCAGCGCGGTGAACGGTTGTGTGGTGTTAACATGTGGAGCGATGGGAAAGAAAGAAACCATTAAACACACATTTAAATCTGACCATCAGCGCCTCCACTGCTGCCTCCAGATACTGTGATTACTCTCCCTGCTCCCCCTGCACAGTCAATGATGTGGAATGGGGATCATGGAGATATCATTTGTTTTATTGTAATATAAGAAGTAGGTGGTTTCTGAAAGATTTGCATGCATAATGCTGGCAACTGTGAAATGACCGTAATCGAATTTCCCCTCCACCTGTTCAATGTATTGTAATGGTTGTCACTTTGGCTATTCGTTTGATTTTTTTCCTACAATTTAAATGTACAATTTAAAGCTACATTTCAGTGTAGTTCTTTGATTAATATGTTGAGACTATGTTCACATCTATAGGTGTTAATCCCTGATTCCTGGGGTAAAAAAACAACAATACATTTAATTGAAGCAATATACACTTAACCCCCCTGTTGTCTTCGGGTCAAATCTGACCGATTCACTACTTTCATCAATCATAACTTCTTTGTTTTACATTCGATTGCATCAAGGCTTCATGATATCCTTCACAGTAGACCTTTGAACATATCCACATTACTGATCACCACTTTCATTGGATTTTGGATGATTTAGTCAACTTTGTAACACCCATTGGTGTTCCGCTCAAAAATGACCCTCCATAAAGAAAAGGACATTAGTAAACCATCCGGATCAGATAAAACACACACACACACACACATACTCTAGATGTGTTCCCCCCCCCCCTTATGTGCCCATCCCCCCATGTGAATCACATCTGGCACACACCAAACAGAACAATGACACAGTTCCCGCTCTTATGTGCCCCATCCCCCACATGGATCACACCTGGCACACACAATACAATGTTCAGTGTCTATTCTTTGTATATTTACTGCAGTTTTCCATGTATACCAGTATCTGATCCAATATGTACAGTTTGAATAGGGTGTTACATGAATTTGGTGATGATTAATGGTTTTTGTGTTAATATAATAGCAGTTTAAAACAGGGACCGGTCAAATTTGACCGCGAACACCAAGTAGGGGGGGGAACACAAGACAATAGGAGGGTTAAAGAAGAAGAGCTGAAACAAACTGCTTACCCAACATTTTACACCTATACATTCAAAATGTAGGACAAAAACGATTTGTGTAACCGTGGAGCTAGCACAATAGATAATTTGATTCTGATTATATTACCATTTAAATGCCAAGAAAATATTGTAAATGTGTTTGGACTGTTGTCATCATTGGACAAGAAACACTGCCCTCAGATTGACGGTGCACTGAGGTCTCTCCATGGCATGCAGCTCTTTCCTTGAAGCTGCTCCACACTTTTAGTCAGGAAACCGTGGGTTCATTGGAGTAGCATTTCTTAGTGGACTTACAGAAGGAGTATGACTAATGGTTTATATATCTTGGAGTTTTGTTCACAAGTGAGGGTAGGTTGCAGAAAAGAAAAAGGCCCTCAGTGTATTGGTTACTCTCCAATACAATCCTCACCTATAGTTGCTAGCACTAGATACATGCAGTCCATTTACCATTTGGACATTGGGTGCAGGCCTCAGGCATTATAAGGGAGCTTGGCATAGAGCGCTGCTGTCGCTCACATTGAAATGACGCCATGGAGGTGGTTGGGGCAGCCCTCTGGAGGGAATTGGATGACATGGATGATCCTGCTGCTACCATTACCCCGGTCAGTGGTGGATAGATGGAAATGACAGCAGCACACTGCACGATATAAACCATTGCATTGGTTTATATAATGTATATTAGAGAAGAAATTAATGTAGTTATGGTTGTTCATTAAAGGTAATGATTATTCTGGAGTAATACAAAACGTTACCATAGGTTGTTATTACTTTTCTGAGATTCTAAAAATATTTAACAGTGCATTCAAGAAAAATGTAAAATCTCATAAAGCATTTGTATTTGATCAGCTGCATACATATCACACATTTCTGTAAATCCAGCAGCCTGTGTGTTTCATCTTCACTAGTCTCATACCAATGCTCTATATTACAAGAACCACAAACAAATGACAAAGGTCCACTTGTTATTCTCATTGACTGACACTGGAGAGCAACCAGCTGGCACTCAAACAACAAAGGAAACACCAGTAACATTCTGTCAACAGATCTCTAACTCAAACATTTTCTATATTCAAATTAACAAATGCACACAGGGATTTTTCACACCTGCAAACTTACCTTAAGGATTTATTCCTACCACCGTTATTGGAACTTTGGTTTCCTTTTATTGAATTGGTTACACATCATGCATACTTATTGGCATTATGAGCTAATGGAGAATGTCTTGATGACATTTTCTGCTGAGCCTCATGTGGGAACTGTTAGTTGGCAGTGCTGAGCATGGAACCCATTTTGCTGCTGGTTGTCTTATTTCAGGTAATAACGGCCTAACCTGGGAACCATTTGCTGCCAAGGGCTGCCTTTTCTCTCTCAGCTGGGGCTTTCCTGCACAGCACTGCAGCATGTACAGATTATATACCAGCTACAGTGTGACATTTTAATTACCATGTTATCTAAGTTTCCATTGGGCCCTAATAAGGTCCAATCATCAGTATTACAATTATGTATTTGACTACTTAGCATCAGAATGTCTGACATTTCTTTACTGACTGAGTTACTTCAGCAGTTGAGGACGAACAGTTCTGTTGTATTGTTCAAGTAGTGGAGAATGCCAGTGTTTGAATCATTTTTTAATACTTTTTATAATATTTCTTGTTGTACTGACTCCTTTTTAAATAACTTAAATAGAGACACCTGCTGTCCTACAGAATGTTCAAACTCCTGGTTAAAGTCGGCGGAAAACTGAGACAGTGCATTGTATTCATTATACCTGTGAAATACAGAAATGTGAAATTCTTGATGATATAGTCAAAACCAGAAGGGCTAGGATTAATGCTACAGGTGTTTATCATTGGTGTTCTTGTTAGGGCGGGAATATGCTAATATAAGTCACAATTGCTTTCCAGGCTAACTACCTTGCTAACTAACCCAGTCACTGGGTGTTTCTCAATGTAGAGGACGCTTGCTTGGTAGCCCATGTCTTCCTTCCGAGTCACTTGCTTCAGAAGCGAGGCAAAGAATACTTCCTGGCATTCGGAAAACGAAGAGTGGAACAGGCCTACACATATGCAACCCTCGAAATTTCTCCAAACGAAGTACGGCCGGGCTCAGAGATAGAATTCCAAGTATGCTGGACATTGGAACAGTCCTTCGGCGGCACTCGATGACGTAGTATGCTTGAAATAGTGGCTCTGGAGCAGCCTTACTCGAGATTGAGACACTGTTTTTAAGGAGACATATTTGTAACACATATTGTAGATTTGATAACTGTCTGCAATCCCTGCCTCTATTGTGGAGCAGGTGTGCGGTTATGGTCAGTTCAACACAGCGGAAGTGTGGTGCAGTGATGACGTATTTCTGTATGCCGACCTAGAAGTTAGCATCACAAGGGCTCCCTCGACAAAAAATAATGCAATTGTTACATTGGATTTCTGATTATTGCAAAAGATAACTTCAAACACACATTTACAGTGTGTGTTAGATACCTACACGTTTTGTTCAGCAGGATAATCTCCACATATTAACACCACTTTATGATTTTTAACGTTAGGCTATAAAGGAACTACAGCACGGTCACAAGGCTCTGCGCGTCACAACCGCTAAGCTAAAGGTGGCTAATGTTTGACTTGTTGACATCTAGCAGTCTTGTTTAGTCACTGTTAACATAGGCCAGGCAAGTTTATTTATATAGCACCTTTCAACACAAGGCAATTCAAAGTGCTTTACAAAAATGAAAGACATTAAGAGCATTAAGAAACATATTATAAAATGACATTTAAAAACACTCATTTAAAAGCAAAGATAATAAAAGTTACAGTGCAGTTTAAGATATGAATATATCAATTAAAAGCCAGCGGCAAAAGAAAAGTCTTCAGTCTGGATTTAAAAGTAGTAAGAGCTGCAGCGGACCTGCAGTAGAACAACATGTGTAAATCCTCTTCAAGCTTGTGTTAACCACAGTCCTTATTGTTGGTCATCTAACCAAAAACACGTATAAGAAAACGATAGGAGGCTTGTTAGGACATGGGGGCAGACCCGATAGTGGTAAAATGAGATTAACTTACACACTGGGTCTTGTGGCTCTGGGTCCTTCCCTACGGGAATTCCATCCTTTTTCCTTCACTTCTCTCCTATGATACGTGAGTGTTACGACCCAGCTTTTCCTCATGTCGCCTCATGCTATGATATCACATCATTCCCAATTAATATTAAATCACGACAACATATTGGTGAGTATCGTTGGATCATTTAAAATCCCTTTATCTATCCACTATCATCCACTCCCCTACGTTTTGCAATTGTCGACATTTTGGCTGTTCATTGGTGATGTGACTCCCTCTTAAGCACTCCTCCAGGTTTCTAAAACACTGTGTGGTGTTAAATGCAAACTGTTAGCCAGGATACTGTGTGATGTGCATGTGAACACCGTCAGCACAGTTATATTTAAGCAGTGGAGTTCAACCTACAGCTGTACTTGAACTCTGCACATCTTGAATATGTCAAAACAGTATTTCATTCTTCTTAAGCCAACCCTATCTAAAGGAAATTTGGGGGATAAAAGCAACTAAGAAGCATGTAAAACAATCTCAGTTTGGCTGAGACCATACTCAGAATGGCAAACAGGCTTTCTTGTGTATTTCTCATACTGTCAGGGTCCATTCATGTTTTTGCAAAGACCCTATTTTCTGTGTTGTTTAGTTATTACAACCTAGAAGACGTCAGCCACGAGTCCATTAACAAGTTTCTGTCCAACCTGGTGGAGAAGAGCCTGCGGGACCTGGAGTGCTCTTACTGCTTAGAGATAAAGAGGTTTGTATTATTTTGTTGTTCGTATATTGTATATACACAGGATTCACTTTTTGATTTTTCATATTGTTGATCCCATTAATGCTCCAGGATGATCAGACCATTGAGCCACTGACCTATGGTCGCATCTCGTCCTACTACTACCTGAAGCACCAGACCATCCGCACCTTCAAAGAGCGGCTGAGAGCCGAGCTGCCCCTCCACGAGCTGCTCTCCGTCCTCACCGTGAGTCCCTCACTCTCACACTCCTCCTGTCACCACTCACCTTCTTACACTCCTATGGGATTCATGTAGATCTACAACAGAAAATTGTGTATGTTAGCACATTTGTGTATTGATCTGAAGTCTAGGTTTAAAGGGGCCCTATTATGCTTTTAAGGGTTTTCCCTTTCCTGTATCGTGTCATATAGGTTTATGTCAAATGGTCTGCAAAGGCTCAAATCCCTGTTCCCTCCAGAGGGAGTTACATGGGGAACAGGAATACATTTGTAACTCCTTAGAACTCTACTGAGAATCTCTGATCGGTCCTCTAATATTATTTTTATTTTTTGCCATTTGCGAATACAAGATACCTTAGGGAAACAAACACACACACACACACACACACACTTTACTCCCTCCTATCAAATTAGCACCTTTGCCTGAGCTTCATTAGCTCTCCTCCTGCTGGTGGGTGGGTGGGTGTGATACTTTGTCCTCTGCCTTTACTGAATGACCTCAGCCAGCCGGCTGTGAGGTCATCCACACTCTTCCTTGTGATTGGGGGGGTCACACAAGACAATGGTGGTTTCACATCTTTCTCTGAGTGGGGTGATGACTTACTTTTTTTTCATGGCTTCTAATTGCTTTGAATATCCGTCTGTATTACTTATAGTGCATTTCTTCACTTGATCAATTATTTTAAGGCTAGTATTTAAAAAATGTCATAGCAACAAGTTAAACCAAACCATAATTGTTGGTAAACATGCAGTGATATTTGTCTTGTTTCAAGATACTGACACTTAGTACTACCGTGGGAGTACTTCTGAGGGAGAAGGATATTTTTTAGAATATCCAATCAAATTAAAATAAAAATATTTAAATAATGTACCATGCAGCAGAAAATCTAGCATAATCCCGGTTTGAGCTTTTGGATAACGTGTGCTTGTGATAAGTGAACTGTATGGCACAGAGGACAAGAGATATATCAGTCTCACATTATAGTTCTTAGTAGGATACATTCATTGCTGATTGTCATAGACGACATTTAAATAATAATAGTTATGCAATTTATATGTCCTGTAGTAGAAATATAAAGACTTTAGTGTGCCCTATCTTCCTGTAAACAGAAGCCACAGAAAGCAGACTTTTAAAAAGATCTTTATATTGCTTGTGTCTTCGATGTAAATAAGCTTGTATTCTTGTTGTGTGTGTTTACCATGAAGCTGTGGGTCCATTGAATGTCTTCAGGGCTGAGTTGACTTCAATACTGATGCCAACATATAGAGGGGAGGCTACTCTGAGAAACGTCACTCCCCTCTGCACACATGTAGTTGGAAATACACCAACGTATGCATACCTGGCTGCCCCCCCCACCCCAACAAGGTGCAATAGAATAGACACCACCCCCTCCCTCCCTCCACACTCCCCCTGTGTTAGCAGCGGCATGCTCCTCCAGCTCCCTCTAATTGCTGCAGTGTGGCCACTAATGAGCAACACCCCACAACCTCCCCCCCTCTCTGAGCCCTCTGCTACTCAGTCATAGTTTTATTTTCTTTCCTGCTCCTCTGATTCATACAATTCAACTTGTCTCACAGTGAATCCAATCTATCTGTTTACAAGAAGACAAGGCACACTAAAGGTGGAGTAGGCCATTATCAGCCATATTACTGCCATGAAGACCCCTTACTCCTTTAACTTTGACCTCTCATTCTTCGTTTAAGACTTTGCGTTGAGGTATTATTACAGACATTATCAATACTTTACCTCCAAATGAAGTGGTTTGGATCAACCAGATAAACGCTTTTTTCAGTTGCAATTATTCACTTGAGTTTAACTATGAAGATAATATTCTACATTGAAATACATTTCCAAACCTTAACATTTGAATGCAAGTCATTTAAACATAGCTGCAACAATCTAACTATACATCTCTGTGTCCGTCCATCCTTCCAAAGAGACGTCTTCAAACTGCTTTTGCATTTTGCTTTATAAAGATTTATGCAATGAGCAAACCAGTATAGTTATACAACTGTAGCATTTCTGAGAAATTAGGGGACACACTGTCTAAGGAGTCAATGACAGGAAACAACGTTAGTGTGTAATATATGTGTCTATTTAAGTTTTGGGGAATTTGTATTTAGGTTTTTGTGCGTCCACCTTACTGTTTTCTCTCTAAATAGTTATTTAAAGCTCCTCCTCCTCATCACTATCTCCCTCCTCTGTCTCTGTGAAAGCTACTATCATAGGGTGTGGGGTGTTTGCTGCTTATGAAGCCCGCTTGAAGATCTATAGTCTCTCCAGAACATCCATACCAGGCAAAACAACACTGAGAGATCAATTATTCTAACATTATTCCTATTCCAATTCCTCGTCCCAGCCCCCACACTGCGCAGGTCTTTTTTCAGGTCCTAGCTTTTGAAACACTGGTTTGAGTCAGTGATGGATGGAGTCCTGACAGTCCCTGCTGGGGGAGGCTATGACAAACGCCTCCAGCAAAGCCAGTTGGTGGGACTACATTAGGCGAAGTTCAACTGAAGTGAATTAGAAGAGAGGAGCCACGCGTGTCTTTGCATCTCTCTGTATGGGAAGCACAAACAGGGTGCAACACGCTCTTAGTACAAAGAGGAAGTTGATGGACTATTGGCGTCAATTGACTTATGCAGTGACCATCAGGGTTTCATTGTGTCTCTGTCATCAATGTGCAGCGTTTCCAGACATTTACATCAAAGAATTTGAAGAAATCTAAATATTGTGCCAGCTCTTGAAGCAGAACAAGTGAACTGGATGTTTCATCATCAGTTAGTTGAACCCTCTTGTCGTGTTCGGGTGAAATCTAACCGATTTGATACTTTCATCAATCATAGATATTCTGTTTTACATTTGATTGACTCAACGCCTTATGATATCCTCCACAGTGTGCATTAAACATATAAAACTGCTGATCAGTGGTTTAGTGAACTTTGTAACACTTATGGTGTTCCCAGTCAAAAATGTCCGCCATAGAGATGAAGGTACAGGGAGATAGTACACACCCACAAATCGACCACCATGTTCATTTTGGAAAACATTTTCAGGGTCTATTCTTTGTATATTCACTGCAGTTATTCAGTAAACAATAGTTTGAGACATTGTTTACATCTTAAAAGGTATAACAATAGAATTTGGTAATGATTAATGGTATTTGTGGGGTAGTGGAACAGTCAGTTTAAAAAACCAGAAGAGCAGGGAGGTAAAAGCAGCTGTTGAAGTGTAGATGCTTGGATTAAAAATACCTGAACACAACATGCCTTAGAATTCCTGTTTCACTCTTGATCTCTGTCTCACAGGATGCAGAAGAGTTTTCGGAGCTGCCCGTCAGACACAACGAGGACCAGCTGAACAGCCAGCTGGCTCAGCAGCTCCCCCTGAAGGTCAACCCACATTCCTACGACAGCGCCCACACCAAGACCCACTTGCTGCTGCAAGCCCACTTCAGCCATGCCCAGCTGCCATGCAGCGACTACAACACCGACACCAAGACGGTGCTGGACAACACCATGCGAGTCTGTCAGGTAGGACTCTTTTGGCAACAAATGACTCACTTGATAACGTTACATGCATCTAGCTGACATTTTTATCCAAAACAAGGTAGAATAAAACCGTGAGGATAAAACAAAAAAATGCATCTCAAATATCAAACATCAAATATGCTGAACCGTTTTAAGTGCAACATTTAAAAACGGGAATAAATAGAGAATGATATTTTATTTGTATGTGCAAAGGGGGAGTTAGAGCAATTTTATTTTCAGTCTTAAGATGTGTAGAGTTAGGATTGTGTTCCACCATTGTGGACTACAATAAGCAACTACAGCAAACGTTATAGAGCGGTAGTTTGTCTCTGCGTATTGAAGGATTAGTAATCCCCTTGCCGATGCAAAGAGTAGTGGACAGGATATAGTGTACTGTTTGGCCATGTCCTGGATGTAGGATAGATCTAAACAATAGTATGGTAGGCAAGTCCCAGTGTCTCTAATAGGATTGGAGCAGCCATTGGGAGCCAGTGAATGGTGCAGAGGGACTTGTGTGAGAACTAGGGTAGGTTGACAACCAGCAGGGCTGCTTTATTCTGAATAAATATTAGAGTTCGGAAGGCACATGCAGACATTTAGTGAATAATAGAGTAAAATGACTTGCGGTAAAGAGAAAAGAGGAGGGGACCAAGAACAGATCCCTGAGGGACTCCATTAGTAAGGCTACAAGGCAGAGATGGGGACTCGAGTCTGTGACTCGGACTCGAGTCGCACTTAAGTCGCACACACAGAGACTTCAGACTTGACTTGGACTCCTGCTCAAAAGACTTCGGACTCGACTTGGACTCGTGAACAATCATTGTGTTTTCTATTTTTGGCGTATTAAAGGTGGGGTCGGTAAGTTTGAGAAACCGGCTCGAGATCGCTAGAATTTGAAAATACACAACCGGAGAAAATCTGCCACTTCCTCACAGAGCCCCTCCTCCAACACACACGAACGCGCACATGACCAATGAGGGCACGAGATACATTTGTGCCCCGATGGAGGCTGACAGGCAGGTAGGCCATCCAGTTACTTTAGCCGGGCCGGCTATCGGGATGTTAAGAGCATTCCATGGAATATAACAAAAAGTGTATCTCGAGCCGGTTTCTCAAACTTACCTACCCCACCTTTAACATTAACATTAACATCATGGTCACACCATGGCGACCAGCGGCACACCTGCAGCTGTACCGCTTGTAATTAGGTTCAACTATAAAAACTTCGAACAAAACGCCGGCGGCACCAACAAAAGGAGCGCACACTGCAAAGTCTGCAATATTAAAATCAAGGATGCTGGTGCAACAACGTCAAATTTCATCAGGCACTTGAAAACTCACCCGGAGAGGTCAGTCACATTAACGCATATGGATGGTTAGCAAACATGTTTAGCTCAGCATCAGCTATGTCATGTTAACTTAGCTTGCTACTAGCTTTGTAACTGAATATTTGAAAAGATGAGTGAATGTTTGCTTGTCACACTTGTTTGCGTTGAGTGGCGTTGACATCCAACTCTTGACATGACATAAAAAAGGTCGGGAACGTTAATCATTACGTTCCGCTGCCACCATCTACTGGCTAACGTTAAACGTAGAAAAATACATAGTTACATACATAAATACATCTGTCGGTTTATAGGCAGGTTACAGGTTTATTGTTGACCACGTAACGTTAATGTTACAGGTTTATCAGGTTACCATTACACTGGGTTTGAGTGAGAGGATAGAGGAATATGTTTATTTATAGTAGACTTAAAAGATGTCATTAGAGACCCAGTGTAATTAAACAATACGGTTGCAGAGGTCACATTTTAACATTTTTGTCCACTGGCCAAATGGCTAGCCTAGTGAATGTTGAAATGTTACCAGCCACTCAATAGATTGCCATTGTTATTTTTGGCTGGTGCGTGCAACATACAGTAGGCCTACCAGCCACTTGCATGATTTACCAGCATCTGGCTGGTAAATGGTGTTAATGGTAGATATCTCTTTTGGAACAGGTCATGTTTTAATATCACCAGTTCAGTATATTTCAGATAATATTGCAGCAATAGTTTTTTAGTTGCAAATGGCACAGAACAAATGTTTACTTTTAAGTACTTTTAACACAGTTTCCCTGCGGGGGATTAATAAAGTATTTGTGATACTGATTTCTGATTCTGAAGTGTTTTGCTTAGAAGTTGTTTGCATTTAGCTAAAGTGTGATGTTTGTCCTCATATTGCATTGCAATAGCCTGTTTAAAGTGATCATATAACAAACAACTAATCAGTACTGATACTGTATGCTAATAGATATAGGAGTGATAATAATACAGTAAATGCTTTGAATTTCTTAGATATAGCTGTGCAGTATTCTTAACAGACTGGATAGCAGCAGACAATAGAAGGCTTATTACAACCAGAAGAGACATGAGACTTTTATTTTTTAGAGACTTGAGACTTGACTTGGACTCGTGACCAAAGACTTGAGACTTGATCAAGTCTCACCCCACAAAGACTTGAGACTTGACTTGGACTCGTGACCAAAGACTTGAGACTTGACTTGGACTCGTGACCAAAGACTTGAGACTTGATCAAGTCTCACCCCACAAAGACTTGAGACTTGACTTGGACTCGTGACCAAAGACTTGAGACTTGACTTGGACTTGCAAAAAAAGACTTGTGAACATCTCTGCTACAAGGATGAGACTCAGAATCTCCTCCAGTAAGTGCAGTACCTGACATTGGAGGTTGACATGGAGAGTGCAGATTTAGAAACCGATTGTCCTTGGAGGATGGTGAGGAGGATCTGGTGGTTCACTATGTAGAAAACTGAGCTGTGGCCTTGCAAAAGACTGGCTGACTCAACAGGCTGGAGAAACTGCTGTGTTAGGGCATTCAGGCATAACTGCAAGTGACAATATGTATGATATTGTTTTTGTTTTTTATTTGCATCAATACCAGTGACTTTGTATTCTAACATCCAATGCTGCATGATTCCTGATGCTGCTATGTACAAAACATTCTGGTTTCAGGATTCTGACTTAAAACCAGCAAGTTGGTAAAAAAAAGTGACTCTTGGGTGCTAATGCTAATGCTAGTGATGGAATGTGTTCAAGAATTGAAATCACTGAAATAGGATAATTTGCAAGAATAACTTCCCAGTTGCTGATAAAAGCAGGAATCGTATATACGCGGTCTAACCTGATGACACCTTTGACGAAAAGCATTACTTTTAGTTCATAAAAGTTCCATTGTATATCTAAAACTAAAGGGTTAAAGTAGAATATTAAAACAAGTTCAGAACCATTAACAGCAGCATTTATCAACATGACGTAAAAAGTGTTAAGAACAATACATTACTAATACATTTGAATAATGCATTCCACATGAAACAGCACATGTTGGGAAGCGGTGCTGTGCTGTAGATGAAGCAGATTAAAAAGGGGAATGTTAAACATTAGTAGGTGATTTGTAGCTGAACTTGCTGATCCATCTCATAAATAACAAAATGCTCCGAGGTTACATCTAAAACCCAGAATCTTTGTCTAGCATCCACAAGGGTTCTGTTGTGACTGTGACTGGACGTGTTCCACAACAGAGCACTTAGTGGTTGGTATATGAGTGAGTAACCTTGATAACAAACATTATCCATTACAATGCTCCATCCAGGTTATTTTGTGTTAGAAGTGTGATGCGCTGGCTGCTGTTTATCTAGGTTCTTGGTATGTACTGTTTGAAGTTAGGCCCATGTCTTAACGTCTGCAAGCCATTGTCCACAGCTCAGGATGGCTGTTTGTGCGTGTGCATATGTACATGTGCTTGTGATTTTCCATGCTGTGTATCTGGCAGTGATATTGCATGGATCATGGATGTGGTTACTTCTCTGGTGTCCTGCTGCTAACATTTAATACAATGATACTGCTCTCCACTTTCTTTATGGTTGATTAGTTTTATACATATATTTATATAACTTAAAGTATGTGAAAAATGTGAATTAATCCTTCCGAAAGGCTTTATTTGGTCCGTGACTGTCAGCTAACCCTGCATTAGCTACACTCTGTCTCTTGGGCTTTGCGTGTCTAATTGCAACACATGACACACATGGACTCAGATGATTGTGACAGGTGGAGAGAGAAAGAGCTAAATGTATTGATGAATTACATCGGGAAAAAAATCCGACCTAACCCCAAGCTTTACGCAACAACAGGCCTAAAGGTGGAGGGGGGGGCTCAGTATAAACCCTGCAGGGAACTTAGGCTGTCAAATTATTCAATTTTATTTTGTTAGTTATCAAAAGTATAATAAACAAAACAATCAAGGCATATAATCATATGTAATTGTTATGTTAATTGATTGATGTACCTTTGTTACTGTAAATTGCTGCGTGTTAAATAACACTGAATAACAGTCAGTTTTCAAAATGCTTTTGTATTATTACAATGTGGCTGATAGTGAGTCCCCTGCTAAAGTCCACTGTGTTATGCTACTTTCAAATATGTATTTTCAATGCTTGTGTCATGTGCCACTGTAATGTTTTTTATTTCAAATATCTTGATTCTGAGGCTTTTCTAGGGAAATATTGATATATGCATTTGGATTATTAAATCACAAGGCAAGTGATTATTTCGATTTTTTTTCAACTACATTTAGGATTTTCTTTAACGTCATACTTCCTGTTTCCTGTGCTCAGGCTATGCTGGATGTAGCTGCTAACGAAGGCTGGCTGGTGGCTGCTCTCAGTATCTGTAACCTGGTGCAGATGGTGGTGCAGGGCCGCTGGCTGCACGACTCCCCCCTGCTGACCCTGCCTCATGTGGAACAGCAGCACCTCTATCTGTTCAGGTACACAACATCAGGAGCAGCTTGAATGCTGCACAAGGATTTGTAGATAGCTGCTACATGGCTAATCTGCGTCAGTGTTCTCCAGCTGTGATTAGCATCAGTGAACAACATAACATCTTTCATTCCGAAACGGCTTCTTCACATGTCATCTTAAAGAGCCTGTGACACGAGTTTCCCCCATCATCCAAACCCATCAATTTGAGTAAATATTGTCCCCTTGAAAACCGTTACTGAACTGATTTTGGATATTTGTACTTTAATAACCATTAATCTGCCCTTCAATGTTGACCATATTCTGGATCATTTCTGGGATTCTTCAAGTCCCGCCAAATTATGTGTGACGTAATTGTGGGCCAAGAGCTCCAGCTGCACCGTTCAGGATCCCAGCATCTGCATGTAAACGCACGATGGCGCACACAGCAGCAAGCGATGACAGCGATGACAGTTTAATTTTGAACGTGTCTGAGAGCTCATGAGGCTGAAGGATCGGTTTATGTTTTATCTGTTAGAAATGTAGGAATTAGGTGCGTCAATATCAGGTCAATATGGGCGATAATACGGTCATATAGCCAGTGGTGGAATGGGACCAAAAGGGATTGTGCTAGTGACTTATCCGACCGGCCCACTTCGGTACCGGCCCATCGGGATTCGTCCCGATGGCCAGTCCGCCACTGCACCCAGCCCAGCCCACGTAAACTGTCATCAGGAAATGCAGACCGGCTCAAACAAATGATTTGTAATCATCATCCTCACGATCATTTAATGTATCATAAAGCACTAATAAATGTAGTTTAATCCACTTGAGTTTACAACTACAAAAATAATCGATTTGTTTTTATATCACATCCGACGGGAGGAAATTCAGCAGCTCTCACTACCGATTTTTAATCCTAATTTAATCCTCATCTTCACCACGATCATTTATGTTTATGTTCGCCGAATTGACATGAAAGCACTGACAAATATGAATATACTGTAGTCAACTTCATTAAAACGTTATTAACGTGCCTAAACTCAGTAATTCACCATTTCTACGCATGACAACACACTTTGTCCGTGTTTGGCTCTCTCGCCGCACAGTGAAGCGTTCCCGCATTGACGTCACTTCCGGCTTCCCCCAAAACTTCAAAATGAGTCGAAGGAATTTCCCCGCGATGTTCGAAATTATTGATATTTATCGGAACGGTATCGCACCTTCTTTTTTAAACTGACGGTTCGAGATTACTTGTAGCCCAATATTTCATTGCACAACAGTTGTTGGGAGGCTGTCACAGGCTCTTTAAGGACTACAGTTATATAGTTTAAGGCCTCATAGCTTTAAGGTCTGGCTGCTGTAACAACTAGCATTACTCTGTAATGTATGCATCATTATCGCCCTGCCTGAAACGCCACCATTAGACTCCTTTGGTTACTGCTGTAACATAGTGACATCAGTATGTAACACTTGCACTTCTATTGGCTGGCGCTCCAACACATTGTATGCTAAGGGGAGGGACATTTCTGACAGATCTCTAATGGCGCTTTTCCACTGCAGCACATAGCACTCTTTTTGCTTTTCCACTAGGGGTAGTTCTGGATCAGGGCTACTTTTTCACCTTTTTTCTGGCCCTCCAAAATTGAGGTTCTTACCGGGCCAACAACCGGGCTGAATATGCTAAACTAGTGACGTAAACACTCTCGACTGCTGAATGGTCAGAGAGAATCGCTGGCAAGGGGGCTACAACTACAACAAAATGAACATATTTGACCGTGATTTAATTGTAATACATGTTTCAAAATGATGCCGAAGTAACAACATACTGATACCGGTAAGTAAAAACCATGAATTAATGCTTTGACAAGTCTGCAGACAGACCGCAGGCGAAAAACCTTTTAAAATGCGTGTTTTCTGAATGGAGATCGGCTAAGCTAACGCAGTATATGCTCCGACCGTCCACACTCACAACAACGGCCTATACAGACATGAATAAAGCAGCGACTGTATTCGCCATGACACAGACAGTCTGTGGTTTGTACTTGTTTAACCTTTGTCTAGTTTCTGAACAGATATGAGGAGCTGTGAGCTCTGAGTGCTAACGGCTGATGTTTTGGTTTTGTGGTTCGCATTGAAGATGACGTCACGGCAGTTTTACGCAGCGCCGCTCCGCCCACACTGCGTTACTATAGTTACTGCCCCAGCTACTAAACTGTAATGGAAACGCAGCATAAAGTGAGCCTGGCCTACCAAGGCCTAACTATACCGTACTAAGCCGAGCTAGGTCCTGCAGTGGAAAAGCGCCATAAGTGGTGGCCAATCACAACAGAGCCGGCCAGCTAACCAATCAGAGCAGACTGGGCTCTGGTTTCAGACAGAGGGTGAAAAGAGGTGCTGCAGCAAAGACAGTATGAGAAAAATCAAGAGCTTTTTGAACATTAAAGCATGGAGACGACAAGTCACAGTAGAGGGACTACATACTGATATGAACCTGAAAATAAGCATGTAATATGTATATTATATAATATGACCATCCACACGCCCAGGTATGAAACTGATCAAACACCAGCATTTACATTATTAAAACCTCCTACACAGGTAAAAAAACACACACACACACACATTTATACATATATTTGTAAAGCCCACAGTGTACGTTTTTCCATGCACACACTATAAGGATGTCCAGGCCTGCACCCTACCGTGTTAAATAATGTTGTGCAAACAATAACAATGAGAGAGATGAGAAAGTAAGACCTGCAGTCCCTTTCCTGAGGCAGCGTGAATCATGGGATAGGGTCTGTTATGAGTCTGCTTCATGTACAACAAATCTCCTCTCCCTTTCTTACTCACAGCAAATGGGCAAACAAGAAGGGAAGGAGCAGTGGGGGGGGGCCCAGTGGGCAGATCGAAGGACTTCCTGAGCTGATCGCTGCCTGCAACGGGAAGGAAAGTGTTTTCGCTGCCATTGTTGGCCAAGAGCTTCAATCCAGTCAGATCGCCCAGGTGAGATTACAAATATCATCACACCGATGGAAATATGTCATTATATTGCTGAAATATGTACTTTGTGGACAGAAATAACAGGGGAAATATTTAGCAAAAACATTTCTTCAGAATGAATTGCTATACTTAGTGCATGCAGATCACACACACACTCTCACACACACACCATTATCGGTGACGAGCCATGAGCAGTCCTGCCGCTGTGCAGAATCCTCCAGGATCCCCATCACTCTGCTCTGATAGGGCGTACAGCTCCAACTTAAGTGCTAATTGCTGCAGTAATGAGAGTGTCCGGGCACCATGGCAGGCCCTGCAGCTTCACCCAATCAGTGTCCCCGCTTTCCTCCTTCCCCACCTTTACCCCCCCTCTGCCCCCAGCCCCCCACAGTGTGGCGGCCTCTCTAATTAAATAATTAGATGTGCAGCAGTGTTCCGGGCCGACTTGCCCAGGGAGAGTAATCCTCACATAAATGGCTTTTGCCGGGTGAATCAGAGAGGCTTTTCTCTTAGCAGCACTCAATACACTGCCACACACACACACACACACACACACACACACACACACACACACACACACACACACACACACACACACACACACACACACACACACACACACACTAGCAACAGTGTTTTCTTTCCTGACACTTTCTTTATCTTTTTGATGTCTTCCTTATGGCGGGGCTTTTTGTGCTGAGCCAAATGTTAAATTCTCCATAAAATACTAAAGAGGGACACAGGGCCATGGAACAACAATAGAAACAAATAACTGTTATTAAACTGCAGGTTTACTGTAAGCTGAACTGTCTATCACAACACACTCTCACTCCCTAAGCGTCCAGGAGCGACGCTTGGTCAGGGTCCTATGGCGTGCAGTTGTGACGCGCCGAGGCTCCTTCAGCTTCATAAACGGACGCAAAGAGCTTTCAACTGATTGCAATGTATTCCCATCGGCGGCGGTATTTGACGCTTAGGGAAGCACCGCATCCATTTATGTCGGCAGCTCTTAAAGGCAATGTGAGCGTCCATTCCCATTGGATAACGGAGAATTGTACACCCGGAAGTAAGTATTCTCCTTACTGTCGATTGATTTGACAGTGATATCTCCACTACTCATCAACTCAAAAACACCAGATTATCCTTGTTAATTAACCTGTTAAGCCCGAGAGACCCGGTACCGGGGCCCTCCTGCAAAATCTTGCAGGAAACAGTGTCTGAGGGCATGTTCATTTAATAAACTATGAATGTTTTATATCCATGTAACAGAAAGAAACTCATCTAATTGATCATTTTAATTTTCTTTTTTTTTTAAAAACCCACAATGCTAACGCTGAGCCTCTGAATTAGCAACGAGCGAAAAATGCTAACAGATGACTGCACCGAAATTCACTCACAAAACCTTATTATTTATCTTTGCTGCACATCCAACCCATCGTTTCACATCGTGAGGTGACACAGAATCGAGGGGTACCCTCATTATCACTCAATGATACGAACTCTCGGAGATAATAACAAGAACAGACATCAAAACATATGGCGCTAGGTAGCTAAAAACGCTAACATGGCTCACCTGTGTCGTAGTCTGGTCAAAAGTGGTCTTCAATGGCATTAAAACGATAAAAACAATGCTAAAGTTAATCCATAGGTTAATCCAATGTGTCTGTGTCACTTTGACTGATTTCTGATAAACCATGAGCAATAAACCTGCTTTTCGGTTTTCAGAAGTCAGAGCTAGAGACAGCTTCACTCTGGTGCAAACCTGCATGCGCCAAGCCCCCACCTTTTTGTTTTAGACTGTGTGTGAGTGGGGAGATTCCCCTTCAATTCTATTGGCTCTACCGGTCAGAAAGAGATGTCAATCACCAAAATCGACCAATGGGTTCCAGGGAAACGGTAAAACCCCCATTTCCACCCAAATCACCCCAGAGGTGGAGTTTTTTCTTTGCTAAACCTCTCTAAAAAGGTCAAATGTCACTTGTTTTGCATCAATCTTGATACAGGGTACTTATTATATGTTGTACTTTGCATTCCTAAAGCTTTTAGTCTTACCATCATCCAAGGGTAGTTTTCACTGTAAGTAAAAAAGAATTTTTGGACGGACACTATATGTTTTTTTACTATGTTCAATCTGAATTTTCTTTAAAATAAAAAACATCTATATTGATTCTGACTTTTCTACATCCAACTCACAGGTTTATCATTACTTTGAGAAAAAAGATTATTAATTTAACCCTTTTAGAAGGGAAGATATGGTCATTTGTTCTGGGAATGTCATTTTCGAGACCTGAAAAACAGGCTCAGGCCTAAACTGGTTAAACGACATTGATAGGTTTAAATTGTGTACAATGCTTTTGTGTTTTTCCGCTTCAATTCTGAGAAACAACTTGTTTTCGCCCCAGCTATTGTTGTGACGACGCCTGTCCGCTTTAACAAACCACGTGATAAGTCAACAAGCTCTGTGATTGGATGAAACATAAATTCATACAAAAAAGTCCAACCCTGTCTCCTAAAAATTACGTTCCCACAGAACTAAATTGCATTCTCAATTATATTTAGCTAGAAACGTATTTTCTCCCACGTGACGTTTGTTATGAACGTATCTTAAATACGTTTATTTTCTACATATCTTTGCCATTTATTGTCTTGCTTTATAATAATGATAATAGTCATTTATAAATATCATTTTAGAGCAAACATTTGAAATCGAGAATCGGGCTCGATATATGGTTAAATTAAAATCAATTGGCGAGGCTGTAATTTCGCCAGCTGTTACTCATGCATGCTGTCAGACTGAGAAAGATAACTACAGCTCAGGTGAGGTTAGGGACTCTCTGAGTGTTTAGATAGTTAATTTTAGTCGAAGTTATCTCAGTGGGCCTCAAACAAATATGTGTTTTGAAATCATTCCAATGTATACTATAGGACAGTAAACCAAATATGAATTACCCCCCTGGAGGATGTGACGTCCACCCCCCAATTAAAACATGTTCATACAATACTGAATACATTTGAAGCCATTTTGACGTATATTACCTATGTCAATACGTTTCTGTTTTTGTAGTGTATTTGTCTTTTGTATAGATTTTTCATTTAATCTTTATATATAAAATTTCTCTTAAAATCTCGCTGAGGGCAGCGAATTGTCTAGAACCGGCCCTGGTAATAGGCCTCAAGAACCATTTTTGTGCTGGCAGACTCATAGAAACAAATTGGCGGGGCGCACTTCGCACGCACTAAAACATTTCCACGTGCTCCGCGCTCACATTATGCTGGGCCCACATGCCTTAGCACCGCTGCTATGACTCCATCCTAGGGGAAACACTGTACGTGTTTCTGTACTTCCTCTAAGAAGAAAAGACAGTAACAGAATATCTCTGTGGCTTCAGGCGTGATCGCCGTTCAAATGACAGCGTTGGTTTCCCCAAAAGTGGGCGGGCTGTAAAGTGACGTAGATTTTACTCTCATCTATTATTCAAAACCATTCTATTTATTCTAACGTAAATTACATGCCAGTGTTTTATCTTTTTATTACTTATATTTTTATACTTTATTTGCTATGGGTTATATCTGAAGCAAATTATGTTTCTGAAGATGTGTAGTCAATTCCACCCTTCAATGTAGCATAAATATAGTTGAGTATCATCCGCATAACAATGAAAGTTTACAGAATGATTCCTTATAATATTGCCTAACGGAAGCATATATAATGTGAACAAAATAGGTCCGAGCACTGAGCCCTGTGGCACTCCATGGCTAACTTTGGTTTGCATGGAAGATTCATCGTTAACACGTACAAACTGAGAGCGTTCATATAGATAGGACCTAAAGCAGTTCCCTGTATGCCAACTAAGTGCTCTAGTCTTTGCAATAGGATATCATGGTCGATAGTATCAAATGCAGCACTGAGATCGAGCAAAACAAGAATAGAGACACGTCCCTTGTCTGAGGCTATTAGAATGTCATTTGTGACTTTAACCAGAGCTGTCTCTGTGCTATGATGTGTTCTAAAGCCATCTGGGTGGTGTGTGTCTACAGAAGGTCCAGTTGTGATAGACACGGTTCGCCACTGCGAAACACAATAGCCAGCATGTGTAGTTCTGGGGGGGCGTTCGAGTCCAGTTTTGAATAGTCTGTCGTGGTTTCGTTACATTTCAAAGAGCTTGACGCTCGGCGTAACCTTGGCGCACTGCCACTCCAACATCCAATCCCAGAGCTTGAAGATTAATCACGGGGTTTGTCGCAAAGCGGACAGGCGTCGTCACAACAATAGCTGGGGATTGTGGGTAGTGTAGTCTCTTTGGTGCTCCACATTTCAGAGAAAACAAGTTGTTTCTCAGAATTTAAGGGGAAAAACACAAAAGCATTGTACACAATTTAAACCTATCAATGTCATTTAATTAACAAAGGTAATCTGGTGTTTTTGAGTTGATGAGTAGTGGAGATATCACTGTCAAATCAATCGACAGTAAGGAGAATACTTACTTCCGGGTGTACAATTCTCCGTTATCCAACGCTCACATTGCCTTTAAGAGCTGCCGACATAAATGGATGCGGTGCTTCCCTGAGCATCAAATACCGCCGCCGATGGGAATACATTGCAATCAGTTGAAAGCTCTTTGCGTTTATTTATAAACTACGTGAACAAGTGGATTTTGCATAATAGGTGACCTTTAAAATCAGAATTCTGACTTAGGATACCACTTTCATTACAAATGACAACACATAAAGAAAGGATGATGTTCCTGCCGCTTTGTGTTATTCATGTGCAGAGAGGGGAATGAACTTAGCTGCTGCTGTAGTGGGCCAATCACAGGCCACATTCAATTGCTTGTGATGATTATCTGTGAGAATAACTCTCTCAAATATTATTTGTTTTATAGATCTGGGTACAAAAATGATCAAATGAAGGTATTGTTTGAATGTAGAAGTTGCAATTCTTCTTGGTTCTGGGTTATCTGGTCGATACCCTAAAGATATTGAGTACTGATACCCAGCCTGACATTTAAACGTTGTGTGTACACTTCCTGGTAAACTTGTAAAATGTGCAGTATGTAATGGACCAGATCTAAAAATCCTAGCTGTAATACTTCCAGAGCCCAGACTTGTGAAGACTACTGTAATCTTTTGCACCACCAACTCTGATGAAGTGGTGCAAATGTGAGATTGTTTTGGTGAATGTGGAACAGTATAGGAGACGTGACATGGATCTTCTCTCTCCGGTCAGGCCTGGTCCTTCCTGAGCCACCTCCCGGTGCTGGAGGTGGAGCTGAGTGTGAAGGGCTGGTGGGAGGAGAGCCGGGAGCAGACGGAGCGCCGCCTCCCCGCAGCAGGAGCCCAGCGGGGGGGGGAGGGCGGCTGGCTGCAGGTCCACGCTGACCAGGAGTACGTCCTGCAGGTCGCTCTGAGGCGCATCAACGCGGGCCAGCAGAGGGTCAGTACACCCAGCACACACTCTGTCCAATGAGAACATATCAAACACCAAATAGTGACGAATAGTTACATCTGCTAATTATATATAATACAATATAATAGGGACAGTTTACTCCCGCTAAACTCTGTGCCTTCACAACTTCATAGCATCCATCTGTTTGCATTTCACATATTGATCTATTATTAAAATAAGCAGTGTTTTATATTACTGTACAGCAATTGATTTATATTCTATTTTTAGCTCATCTAATTCTATTTTACATGTATAAAGTTGACTTCTCCTGCATTACTTGCACATGAGTATTGCAACACATACGTTTTATTTAAGTTCTTTAAAGGTTTAACAATATCAGACCATCATCTCTATAATCATCATACAGGCGGAGCTCTTTTGATCCTGTCAGATTTATTGCCCCATAAATTATTTTATTGATTTAAAAGGTTTTTTTTTAATCTTTTGACTATTCTTTAAACTGCATTCTTTGCTGGAGTTGCGCTGCATGTTGGCTGCAGATGCAGGGGAGCCTCAGAGAGATATACTGCTCTTCAGATGCTGTGGATACTCCAGGGATTCAGTACAGTTGGGGGACTGGTTTATGAAAAGGTTTCCACCTCTGAGAAGCTGCTGGGAGACAGACTCCTCTAGGGACATATAGAACCACCTGAATACATTGAATCTGATGTCTATTTAAAGAAGCCGAAAACCCTGTCACCAGGTATATTACCTTCTTTTACTACATTGCACATGGCCATGGGTTTATTATGAATTTCACAAGGTAGGAAACAAAACTTGATGTGTAAGTAAGTTTGAATGGATTTGTAAAAGTGTCTTCTGAATCCCAACCACCAGTGTCTCTTCAACATTTCAAACAATCCTTTGTTGTATGTATAACACTGATAATAATGTGACCTTAGTCTTATGTCATTGTATCCTATTTCCAGGAGGATTGAAGCCTGAGCCAGCCCTCAATATATGTCTTTTTACGAGACTGTAATCTTTCTACAGGATATGGCATCCAAACATTCAGATCTGCATTATTTTTGCTAAAAACAATTTTTGCGACAATATATTTTAATAACAAATACTCCATCAGCAGTAAACATATTTCTTAAGTAAGCTTTTGAAGTATAAACATGTACTTAAATATTCAGTTTGCTCACATACAGATTTGTATGCAGGTTTATTTTTTTTATTTTTTCTGTACCATGTGACCCTAGAGGGGGCTCTGTTAAAGTCATTTTGAAGAATCCAATGTACTTTTAAATGGACAGCTATGAAACAGTAGTATCTACGGAGCCCTGGAGGGTTCATAGAGAGAAAAATAAATAAAACGTGGCCACGCTTTATTAACTTATGCGCACGAGATGTAAAGCGTGGCCACGCTTTAAATACAACGAGGCCACGCTTTATTAACTCGTTAAAAGCATTACGTGGCCTGTACTACGAAGCAGGATTTGCTATTTACACTATTCATTCATGAATAATGACGCTGTCAGCACGCGTCTCCATGTTTGTGATTGGTCAAATGTTGCTAACCCCGTCCCTTTCACGTGAACGCGCTCTCAGCCGGACAGAGAAACCCTGGTTGATTACTGAGTTGATAACCAGCTTCGTAGGACCGCTTAGCGACATCGCGTTTGTTAGGGTCAGTTAAGCCGGGTAACTCAAACATATCCAGGGTCTGTTGAACTGGCTTCGTCGTACAGGGCACTGGAGGCAGTAACGTGTAACCCAGCAGAATCTGAGAAGAGCAGCATCAGCGGCAAAGAGCTGTGCCTTTTACTGTTTACTTCACTGTGTTTCCCTTCATTAGAACCGCTGAATAGAGATCGAGGCTGCTACGTTTAACCACACACATCTATACACACACCGAACTACCAGAGTATTCCCCCTCGCTTTATGAAGGAGATGTCCTATCACCAGGGCGCATGATGTGTGTTTGTGCTCAGCTCCGCTCTGTGTGTGTGTGTGTCCGACACCACCGGCATTTGTTTTCAAATGACCACGAACAGTAATTTACACGAATCTGGTTCTCCATAGTTATATGTGTATTCCCAAGTGAAAGAAATTAGTTTAATCTTAATCTCGATGTAGTGCTATAGTCCTGCCGGTGTGCACCGGAACAAGCGACACTATCATAAACAAATGCCCACACACACACACACACGCCCTGGCGACCGGACATATTCTTCATAAAACTAATCAATTTAAAACGAGGCCACGCTTTATTAACTCGTACGCACGCTTTATTAACTCGTGCGCACGCTTTATTAACTCGTGCGCACGAGTTAATAAAGCGTTCGCACAAGAAGGTATCTCGTGCGAACGAGAAAGTAAAACGTGGCCACGTTTTATTTATTTTTCTCTCTATGAACCCTCCAGGGCTCCTATTGTTATTAGTATTATATGTATTATTTTGCATAGCAGTCTCCTGTAGGCATTATACAATTATCTTACAAGTGCTGAGATCTCATAAGTGTGTGTGTGTGTGTGTGTGTGTGTGTGTGTGTGTGTGTGTGTGTGTGTGTGTGTGTGTGGGTGTGGGTGTGGGTGTGGGTGTGTGTGTGTGTGTGTTTCAGAGGAAGCAGGACAGCAAGGCGCAGGCTCCCAGGTTCCCCAAGCTGAAGGATGAAGGCTGGTTCCTGGTGGTGGGGGAGGTGGACCGCCGGGAGCTGCTGGCCGTCAAACGGATCGGATACGTCCGCCAGCGCACAGCTGTGTCCGTGGCCTTCTACACTCCAGAGAAGACCGGGAAGTAAGCAGTAACTCAAACAGGAGCGAGAACACGAGCTTCACACACACACTCCATACACAGCCGCTGCAAACAAACACCTCCGTTTGAGAGTTTCAGGTCACACACACTGAACTGCTTTATTGTCCACACACACTCTGGATTAGGAGCATAGTAGTACTTTACAATCAAATACTTAAACATCTACTTAGCAGAGTGTGTCTAAGACATCTGACGTGGTCTTCAGTGGCCAAAGAACTCGTGAAATTTGAGATGTGTTATACATACAGGAATATCAGTCATTGAGATTACTCAAGGGGAAGCATGGACTGTGAATGACTTGATAAAACAGTCATTTCTTCACAGAATTAAACTGCCTTATTAGATTGAAAACTAGACATGAAATCACATGGAAATCAACTTGAGTTTTTAGAGGTTCCATGATTTCCTAAAACCATTAGCCATGCTAGCTTTTAGCAACATTACTCTCATACATTCTTACCTGTGTACCCTCTCTGCCTCAGGTGCATCTACACCCTGTACCTGATGAGCGACTGCTATCTGGGTCTGGACCAGCAGTACGACATCCACCTGAACGTAACCCCCGCCAGCATCAGTGCTCAGGTGAACACAGAGGTGACTCAGTGAGCGACCCCCCCCCCCCTCAGGATCCTCATGCTGCACAGATTGGGATGTGATATGTTGCTCCGTGCACTTTGAATCAGCTGCTCTGACGCTTCACATCCTCACTGCATTGCATTCTGGACTATTGAAGCTGCTGTTGTGTCTCCTCTACTCTGGATCTCTCTGATTATTAAATATCTGTCAAATACAGTGGTGCAGGGATGATGTTTTTTCCCTTGGAATTTGGACAAATGCAGAAAATAAGATCTTTGGCAAACACGTTTTTTATGATACTTACGTTTTTGCCAGCAGGATCATATCCACAGATTAACACCACGTTTATAATAATAGAAGCTTTAATATCATTTCCAGAAGCTAACGTGAGGATATAAAGGAACAATATCATCTTCGCATTACTTCACGTCACCACCGCTAAGCTAAAGGTGGCTAATGTTTGGCGTGACTACAAAATGAGAACATCTCTTCAGCTTGTGTTGACCATAGATCATATCAAAAACAGATTTAAAAAAGAATCAACACTGAGACAAGCAAACCAGAAGGGCTGAAATGCTGACTCATTTCCAGGTTTTCGGACTCATTCCTGCACCACTGTATTTGCATCAGAAACAAAGTCTTTCAAAGGGAAAGGTTTAATTAAAGATATTTGATTTGAAGTTTTCCTTTTGTTGAGTTAACCTAATTTACCAGTAATGATCATCTGGAACTGTAAACGGTGTTGCTCCTTAACCACGCCTCGGTCAGTGATGTCACAGCTGGCACTTATCCTTTGACCATTTTTCTATTTCATCAGAAGTCTGTTTTTCTAGACCAAATATGTTATACACACATGTCTGTGAAATAAAGATTGTTTTGTCTAAAAGAATAAAGGTGTCAGTGAGCTTCGGATAAACCAGGTCGCACAACATGTCATCAGACCAATCCAAAGGGGACATCATTTGTATGCACGCTTCATCACACTTCAATTACTTTTATTTTGTTTGCCACTGTAGTTTGATTTACTCCAAAAACATTTCCAGTCAACATTAAATATGTAACTTAGGCTACTACAGTGTTATGTAAGCTGGTCACTTCGTAGACAAAAAGGGTACCATGCATCACACACACACAAAACAAGTTTACATTCAAATCAATAAGCAATTATTCCCCCTCCTCCTTATAACCTCAACTATAATAGTTGCTGATTGTTGGATATTGTGTGAAACTATACAACATTAACTGAAGATGTGGGCAGATTGCAACATGCTTTACGGATTTACCCCAACAGAGTAATGCAGTATAAATGATAACTTTGTGATGTATTGTTCATCCATCTGTTGTGAAGAGAACCGTAGTGAAAAGTTATACAAAAAGACCCCCTTGTACATCCATGAACTAAACAGGGTGCTTATGGATGAGACAGTGTGCAGTGTGATACAGGCAGGCCAGCAAAATAAGTGTTTTAAGAATAAAAACGTCAACAGTAGTGACATGAGGGTAAAATGTGGTGTTGTAATCTGTACTGCTAGCATACGAGCAACCCGAAACCCCGAGACAGTCCCCTGCTCCTAACAACACCAACATGAAGTTACTACAGTGTGTGTAAAGTCAGTTTAAACTCCTATGTGGGCCAGACTAATGATAGCATAAATATGACGGACGGGTATTACTTTTAAGCAAGTTCACAAAGCTAACAGGTCACACAAACAGAACCTCAGAAGTTCATCACCATTAATATACAACAGACCCACGAGCGAGAGGACCGTTACGTCTGACACGATTCAGCCTCAGTGACGGCTGTCCACAGTTCAGCCTCCATCTGCAGGTGAGTGCTGGGATTGGTGGGTCGCTCCAGGTACAGCACCAATAGGGATCCTCGACGCTTCCAGTGGGCGGGATAAGGCAGCACTTCATTACAAGAAGGCCAATGGCAGCACAGGTCATTTACACACAGATCTCACTGAGATGATGAGCCATCGTTCAATTCATTATGTACACCATGTGTTTTACTGCCGTGTCAACATGACCTACCTGAAAGAAAAGGACTGAACTTATTCCCTTACATCATCAATGGTGGGCTGCACGATCCTCAATATGAACAAAATATAGAGTAGTTTCAACAAGCTAACTGTTATAATGCACATTCAGAAATGGCTTGAGGACAGTTCTATTATAATGTTGTTGGGTCAGCCACAGCAAATATGTGATACATGTGAATTCTATCATAATAAACCCTTTGGGATTTACTCAATGAAGAATATGTGTCTCTAAGAAATTACCACATTATCATCATAGGTCAAATCTAAATCTAGAATCCCAACTTCCTGACAGTTAAACAGATGCCGACACTAGACTATGTGTTCTGCTTGTGTTGCCTGAATTTGACTTTTTAAAGCTCCTGTAGATTAGCACACCCGAAGGCTTTGTTTATAGAGCTGTCTATCCAGGACTCCTTTTCTAAACTGAATCACATTAGTTGTGCCTGTTTACATGGTCTTTAAAAAGATGTCAGGCTCTAATCCAATTCTTCTGTTTGCACTCACAATAAGTGTGTGCCTGCTGCACTTGAAGGAACTAGGAGAAAGCTGAATCCCTCTCTTCAGCCCAAAAATGACACGTGAGTTGAGCTGATCATTTTGGAGCTGAAAAAAAGGGATGGAGTAACCGGAGCATTTCTAAAAGTCAGACCCGCATCAGATAGCTGTGTCACAGAGGTCACGACCCTGCAACAGTTCTGGAGGTTTAATGACCGGAAGAGGAGTGGGTATTCTTTGGTCACACGCATTACACACATCATCAATGTTAGACCTTTAAGACAGCTCTGGAGTTTTTGTTTACACAGAATGTGTTACATGTTCCCGGACAAACTACATCATAATAAAGGGATTTAGTATTTTTCACCACAGATTTGTGATAAAAATAGATACGTGGCTGTTTGTATTGGGGTATAAAACAGCATGTCATTTTGGGAGATAACATTTACAAAGAAAACTAATAGTTTAAGAGAATAGAACATTTGCTATTTCTTGTTTTAATGTTTTTAATTCCCCAAAAATGTTTCACGGTGTTAGAAGAAAGTGTTCTCGTGTGCGGCGAGTCCCGCTGGGGGAGAATATGAATGTATGACCTCAGTATTTCGCAAATCTTGGCTGTGCCCTGAAGCAGCAGAAATCCAGTTCCTGTCAGATTTGTTTCCTCGTGTGAATGTCACCAGTAGATCTGTTTCTCACTGCGTGTGTTTCTGACTTTGCTACTCAAGAACTAAATACAGTCGCCATTTTCATAACTCATTTTCAACCCACAATTCCTTAATCTCTGCCATTTGAAAAGTGTGTCCATGCTGGAACACAACATGATGCCAGCAATCAAAACACAAATCTATTCTGAAATATTCAACATATAAGCACAAAACAAAAGTGAATGTCTTGTATGGACTCTCAAGACGAGCTTTAAGAGGTCTTGAAGACCCTAAGCACAAACCCTTTTAACACATGGAGTGCCTCTTTGATATTGTGCCCCACATCTACTGACTGCACAAAGCAGGCAATGCCTTGAGGCAATGTCTGTGGCAAAAAAAAAAGAACATTTGTTGGAAATGTGCCTCACTGAATTACTATCAACATATTTGTTTATAATCCTAAAGCCAAGTGTCAAAAAGTAGGTTTTAGATCTTACATGTTATTGTGCAGTGTCAAATACATGTAGGCTACGTTTAATCTGGGACTGAAACTAATGATTCATTTATTTTATTTACAATTAAAATGCTTTTTTCCCCACCAATAACCATTTGGTCTATACAAAAAATGAATAATGCCCATCGCAAAATCCTCCAAACCGACGTCATGACATCTACAATTAGCTAAAGTCCAGAGTCTGAAGGTGTTTAATTGACTTTATTAAGATCTGACATTTGATATTCTGTAACAATACTGTTAGAATATATAAAAAATACCGGCCTGCCGCACCCTGCCGAGGAGAGGGGGGAGAGGAGGCTGCCCCATCACAGCCCGTCCGCTCTCTGTCCCAACTGCAGGACAACTGTAGCACCTCCAATACCAGCACTGAGCATTATCCTGCATTCATAATGATGTATTATTGACCTACAATGGATAGAGGCTCCACAGAGTGTTGAGTGAACCGCACACCTCATGTTAGGTTACACAGTGATGTGCAGAGGGACCGTGTGCACGTAATGAACATTTCCCGTTCTGCTTTATTTTTCTATTTTCTGGAGAACAAACCAATAAGATGAGAGACTTCCTGAGAAATAACACAAAGATTGGACTCTAAATTGAACTTACAAGTTTACAACAAGTTAGAACAATTGTTATATTGTAATTCTACACGCATATTGAATACACCAAGTGATGTGTAATATAGACCATAATAACCATTTTCGGATCTTCTGCAGGTTAAAGAGGCTTCAGCCGTCACACGGAAACTGCTAGACCATATTACTGCATTCAAAAGTGTGGAAGTTCTTAACATCAGACATGTAATTTTGAATCATGATTTATTGAGATAGTTTGAATGTTGATATTGCGGCAATAACAATTTAACACATTTTGAAAATTGAAAGGCTGTAGGCCATAGGCCTGAGGGCTGTGCTAAATGAAGGAGAATGCACACAGATGGTAAATGTCTTTAAAACAACATTTAAATAGATGTGTAATTTGTGTTTATAGCCTACGATCAATCTTTCATACTGGTATGTTTTAAATAGATCTTCATACAATTATATCTCTCCCTAAAGAGAGTGAACGGACTCGGTGGATTTCTCAATACAGTTTAGTTTGTGCCAGAGGTAAACATTTACAAACAGCCAATCCCCGATCCTGATGGACGGTGTCATCAAAAAGAGAAACCAATCAAACGGTGGAAAGGCTATTCAATCTTCCAATAGGAGCAGAGCTGCCTGCAGGGGGCGGGTGTTGGATCCATCCTGCAGCTCTGAGCAGGCTCTGAATGTGCTGCTGTCCATAAACTCACAGAGGATGGAAGATAAGGGAATGCTGGGCTTAATGGAGATTCTGCCCCGGCACCGTGAAGCCCACAAGGCGTCCGTTTAGCAAACTGTCGATTCTCTGCCCTGAGGTAAGCAGTAATAGATATAGGCTATTAAATGCGACTCTAAAAGTAGACTTGAGTCACTATAATGTCTGTATAAACAATTCAAACAAGTGTCCATGTTAGTTGTATGTTTCGTACCCTCTCAATATAGCCTACTATGGGCCTAGATAGAACAAAATAAAGTTATAGTCACACTTGCATTCCCCCCACAGGCCTACTGTCCCTCTGGACATTAGCTGTGATGACAACACGGAGTCCAATGGGCTGACTAAAGCGCACTGTAATCCTCAGAAATCCAGGAATTAGCCGCGTCCAGTTTACAGCCAACCACCGGAACACCTGGAAATATGGGAATGTGTTCACGCGCCAGCTGCTGTGGATGATAGGCTGCGCGTGGAGACAAGTGTAGCTTCCTGTGTGTGTGTGTGGGGGGGGGGGGGGGGGTCAGTGGTATGAGACAGCGGGACAGAGACGCACCGCCGCAGGACTAAGAGCCGAGGAAACACACGGCATCATGAAGGAGAAGTCTAAAAACGCGGCCCGGACTCGGCGGGAAAAGGAAAACAGTGAGTTTTATGAGCTGGCCAAGCTGCTGCCGCTGCCCTCCGCCATCACCTCGCAGCTGGACAAAGCCTCCATCATCCGGCTGACCACCAGCTACCTGAAGATGAGAGTGGTGTTTCCTGAAGGTACGAGAGTTTTTAATAATATACACTAAACAATTACACCTAGGCCTACATTAAAATAACCTATATTATTAATATGTCACCTGTTAACAATTTACCCAAATTCCCCCGGGATAAATAAAGTATTCTTATTCAATTACAAATTGTTTTATTATTGTTTTTTTATTATGCTAATATAACAACATGATCAGATAGATGATAATTATAACAATTATACTACTATATTTTAAGCTCTATAGGTAGGCTACAGTTAAATATAAGAAAATACTCTTTATTAGGTAGCCTATTCATCTTCTTATTGCCATGATTACATTTGTAATTGTTATGAAATATGTAGTAGGCTGTTAGTGAGGTGGTATAATGATATACCAGGCCCAATGTGTTTATCTTGCTGCTGTGGCATTTACGGGATTTTGATATGGTTTTTTCTTTATGTTGAATTGAAATGGTTACATTTGAGTAATTGAGTGCTTCTTTTGTGTTTTTGTCATTTTCTGGGTTGTAATTTGTAACACCCTTTTTTAAATATAATTTTGCAGAAATTAAACATTTGTTTACTCGTTTTTAGAAAGCGCAATAAACAAAACAACAGATAAATACATCGTTTTACGGAAACTTCAGTAGGCGTGATTTTATTTTTCGTTTCGTTTGAGCGTCACTGTCAAGGAAATAGTAGGCCTAATATACGGTTACAACAGGAAACATCGCGTTAACTTTGAATAATGATAATAATAATGTATTTTAAAGCTTCGGGTTGTTTGTTTGTTTGTAGCCTTTATTTAACCAGGTGAAAATCCCATTGAGATCAACGATCTCTTTTTCAAGGGAGACCTGCACTTTGCGTACTGTATACGTCTGCACGAAGGCTTTATTCAAACATGTCTTCCTGCAGTTAAAGTGATTCAGTAAGACGTATATCGCGGTGACATTAGTGTAGCCTACAGTGTGCTGTGTTATTGCCACCTCCCTGAGGTCAGTGAATGATGCATTCAGGGTCTCTCTGTTCCTCGGCCCGTCTGTTCGGGTCCCCAGCCGCAGGGATGTTGTTCCTCTCCGGGCCCCCGCGGCCCCTGGCAGCAGATTAGCTGTGATGAGGCTCCATCCCGCGTGCCTGCTGCAGAGCCGCGGATATTAGTATGATGTGCACGTGATCCCCAACATAAGGAGCTGTGTAACAGTAACAGGCTGTGCTGCAGACAGCCAGCACAAAGGGAACACTGAGGAGCCATGCAGCTGATGTCCTGCAGGTTATAATACATATATAATATAAAGAAGGCAAGGCAAGTTTATTTATATGGCACATTTCAACACAAGGCCATTTAAAATTCTGTACACAAATGATGATAGCATTTGGACATCAACACATTGGAAAAAGTCATATAAAAGCCATTACAAATGAATACAAGAAATAGAAGAATAAAATGTACAGTTCAGTGTGAAATATAAAAATAATATTTGATTGAATAAAAGGCAGCGTCAGAGAGACAAGTCTTGATTCTTGATTTGAAAGAAGTGAACGTTGCAGGGATGCAGTTTGTTTCAGGTGATGGCTGAACGCTGCTTCTCCATGTTCACTTCTGACTCAGGGGACAGAAAGCAGACCCCCTGAGAGTCCTGGGTGGGCCATCATGTAGCAGGAGATCCTTTTGTGGAAATAAACCTCTCATTGAAACACATGCAGGATTCCAGGAAAGTGCAACATGTGCTGGAAATATTGAGTGTGTAATTGGAATAGTGAAAAGGCCGGGGGCCACAGACTCACGAGGGTCCAAGTCTTTGGCATCTTTCTCCCTATTTTGTTGCAAAATGATATCAAAGACGACATATAGCTCCGATGTGTTTTTAAACACCAGTTATGAATTCTGTCCTGTGGTACCGTTCTCTGGGCCCCTCTGCATGCTTGCATGACTGGAAGCTTTTACACGGGGGCAACATCATGCTGGGGAGGCGCTCTGAATCATTTGGGGAACAATCTTTCTCCTGCAGTCTACTCCTCTGTCCATTAACTCCCCGCAGGACCTCTTCACTTTTCACTTTCCAAGAACCCCACACTCCACCAGAAGCCCACCTGAGGGGCTGAGTGTATTGAGTGGCCAGTAGAATAGCTAAAAGTGTTCTTCATTTGGAGTGTAAAGGATTTTATTTTTTCCTGACAGAATTGTGTGGGGGGGTTATTTATGCCCCTCAGAGTGGTCCTATGAACTTTGGCCTCAGCCGTGTTGTCCATCCTGTGTTAAATTACAGCCGAACCGAACATGTCTTGAGCCCTGAAAGATATGATGACAGTTGGAGACGAAAATGACGTTTTATCCGATGAACTGTCGGCTTTATTATTAAATTGAATAATCCTTAACATGGTGTTTACTGTGATACAGCCAGAAGATCAAATCAAAGTTATGACATTCAGGATTATGAACGTGTTGGACAGAACCAGTTGCACCATTCGCCTTGTTTTTTCCTGCCAATGCAACTCTTGAAATTGTACAAGAACCACACACAACTAACGTTATTATTATAATTGTTATATTATAATGATCAGTGCCCTTTTATATGTGTGAAATGAGGGTAATAATTGAAATCCCCTCGCGCTGCAGTTACAGCTGCAGACGGACGTTAGTGCTGAGTGTAAAATGTGCAACACCAAATCATTATGCTGTAATGTATTTATCTCTCCTTTTAGATATATATATATATATATTATATTGTAAATATGATTTATTTATTTTTCCAAATGAGTTTATTGCGATGTACATGGAATGTCGCGGGGTTTTAAAATAAATCTGAGGTTAACAAAATGATAAAAAGATACTTAAGATAAAACTAGAAAAACTAATTATGCAAAGATGATGTTTATTTTCTTTATCTGTTTTCTGCCTTATTTCCTATTTGTTACGAAACGGATATTTCCGGGCCTTTAAATCACGGCCACATGTTGGCCTAATGCAGGACTCTGGAATAAACATCTTTGTGTTTTACAAATTAAAGAGGTTAGGAATAATAATAATTGTAATAATAATAATAAAAATAATAATAATGGGTAGTAATGAAAACATAGTGAATGCGAGGCATGCGTTGGTCGAAATAAAATGCTAAGGGTAAGGCTGCTCACTTCAGGAGCTTCTGTTCACGTTGCATATTCTAAGTAACTTGAAATGAATAAATGATGTATCATTGAAGGACACATCAGCGGGTCAGTCTCTCTGCAGGTGAGCCGTGTTCCCAGCAGCTCGGTGTGTGAGCCTCTTTAGAGTCTGTGTCAGAATGGAGTCGTGAAGCCATGCCTCGGTGAACCTCAATAACTCTTTCAAAACACCGTTACCGTGCGCTCCAAGTAGGCTATCTTCAGAAATGTTTTTTTCGGCAGGCTAACTGCGATTTTTGTAGCGTGTTTTACACATATTCCTTTTATTTCTTTAGTTGTTTTTTTTAACATTTCTGCTGATCATAAAATGTGAGAATGAGAGTTTGTTCCCAGCGTGTTAAAGGCTGTCTTTATCTCTTGTATTTGAAATAGAAGCCTATAGAAGGTTATATGTATTAGGTGTTGCATGGACTCATTTGATCGCCTTATGAAACCGTGCGGTTATTGAGCGGCGGCGCGCGGGGCTCCTGTTGTTCTGCGAGCGGGAACTGAAGGGCTGCTGTTTGCTCTGGCTGCATCGCCATCGGACATGTTGTTTTTAACACCGTCTGAAGGGTTTAACCTTATTTTCACGCTACAGCATTTGCAATGTTTTCATGGAAGTGCGAATCTAATTTTAAGTTGTAAACAATGGGTTGGTTTCGAACCTGCGATCATCAGAGCTTTAAGGAGGCGTTGCACTCCTAATTGTAAACCAATTTAGCTCATTTCCCCTGCGGACTGCTGTGTGAACACTGAGTTCATTAAAGACCAGAATCCGTTTTTATTAGCCTACTCTGTGTTTTACTCATTTGTATTTATTTTTATTTTTCGTTGGTTTGTTTGTTCTCTTATGCAATATATAGCAGCTATTCTGATAGCTGTAAATAATAAATGGATGTACATTATATACTGTATATGTATTTACGCAGTGATACAGCATACATTATTCATATTTATAAAAGGTTATATTTATGTAAATTAACCCCTGTTAATCTGTACATTCTAGTATCTTCATCACAACCTTTTTCTTAATCCGATCCAAACTTGAGACTTTACTCTATTTCAATTCTGCCATAGTTAAATGTGTAAAGTCTTAACATTGACAATATATTCATTAATTTAGTTTAGAATGTTAAAAGCAATAAAATTGCCTTTACACCATTAGTATAAGAAGCCAGCTAATAAACAATGTTGTTGCTGTCTTTCTTTTCTTCCATTTGCTTGAATGCCTCATCAGATGGGCTGATAATGCCTTCTCAATACAATGATGTTTGTTTGTTGACTCGTGTTCAACCACTGTCATTAGGCTGAACTTGAGAATAATACAACACTTTCAAACATATCATTATTTCCCTTCTGCTTAGGCTGTAAAACCTGACATATTGTCCCTTGTAATGATATTTTTTCTGTGTGTGTGTGTGTGTGTGTGTGTGTGTGTGTGTGTGTGTGTGTGTTTCCCAGGCCTCGGAGAGTCTTGGGGTCACGTGAGTCGCAGCACTTCTCTGGATGGAGTCACCCAGGAGCTGGGCTCCCATCTCTTACAGGTACTGACAGTGGTCACACTTTAAAACCAACTTTTAAAAAAATGCTTTTGTGAATTTAAGTGACTTAAGTTACGTCCACAAGCTTACTAAAACAAAGGTCTTAAAATGTATTGTATTAAACTGAAAAACATACATCTTAGCTCTTTGGAAAATTCACCGTATAAGACATTCTGATATTTGTTCACATTACGATCCAGCAATAGGTCTCTGTGTGTGTGTGTGTGTGTGTGTGTGTGTGTGTGTGTGTGTGTGTGTGTGTGTGTGTGTGTGTGTGTGTGTGTGTGTGTGTGTGTGTGTGTGTGTGTGTGTGTGTGTGTGTGTGTGTGTGTGTGTGTGTGTGTGTGTGTGTGTGTGTGTGTGTGTGTGTGTGTGTGTGTGTGTGTGTGTGTGTGTGGTGTGTGTGTGCCGTCTCCTGCTGTCTTCATTCTTGTGCTTTAAGAGTGAAATGAGCTGAACACATTCCTGGTCACGCACAGAGCCTCATTCTGTCCGGCAGCCTCTCTCAGCAGCAGCAACACAAAGGAGGGGGCCTGGGGGGGGGGGGGGGGGTCTGACCAGAGCTATCTAGCTTGTTGTTCTCTTTTGGCTATATGAGTATATATTTTTTTATTTCACCGGTCATCTGTCAGCTGTCTTGCATCTAAAATGAATAAAGTACACGTAAAATATAAAAGTCCTCACAGAGAGAAGCTCTCGACAGAAGCAGTTATTTTTCAATTATTGAATTAAGAGAAGAACTGGCAAAGGATATTGACAACCTTCCACCGATGACTGTTAGTGACTGTTATTGACTTCCCTCCGATGTTTGGAGTTAGTGCCCACACCTGATGGCAAATTTAAAAATATGAAATGTTTGTAGTGCTATAGTCTGATTTACAGGGGAAAACAGAACCTAGAAATCTAAGGCCCATTGACAACAATCAGCTGCAGAGAAGTCAGATAGCTGAGGTTTTGCTAACTGTTTGCAAACAAAACAATGGATTATCATACATAATCCATCTACAGGTAAACTTATATATACTGCAACATTTCATGTTTTAAATCTCATTACTTTACTCAACTATGTAAAATGTAGAGCAATTCTTCAAGACACTAAACAATCAGCACTTAGCTGCCAACATATTCCGCTTCACTTGCTGATGTACGCTACCTGCTCCCCCTTGTACAGATGTCATCTTGTAAACTAATCAATGTAATCTCTTGTTTTGTTAGTAAGTGTTGGATTTGGCTGTAACAGTCAACAACACCAGTGCCTATCAACCGTGTTTAATAAGTTCAAATGTAAAGGATTAACAGTACCTTGCTTGCTTTAGTTGAATTGTTGGTCAACGGGTTGTGATCGCTGGTTTCCTCCAAAGATGTCCGACGTACTGTTTGTGACATCACATTCCCATTCCCTATGGCTGGCCTCTATGGTAGAAGTACTGCTTTGACACTATGGGCTGTATGCTGGCCAGTGCGGCTAAAGAGGACCTATATTAGCACAAGTGGCTACAAGCTAGCATCTATGAAAATGGGCTGCTTCTTAAATGAGCGTTTTATGACAAAAGAGTTTCAGAATAAAATCAGTAATGTTCCTCACCATCAGTAATATTGATATTGTATTCATTTCATGTTATAAATGCTTTGAACTTGAAAGTGCTTCACTCCCCTGCTGGTGTATCTGGCAGTCTACACTCAGCTTAAAGATGCCCTATTATGCTACGCTTATCAAAAGAATGTATATGTAGACAGCAGCAAAGACTACAGCTTCCAAAATGACCTTAAAGTTAAGTGAGCTCTATTTCAGTTTCCTTAAAAAGTGAACAGGTAGAGTTCATTGTTTTTGGGTCGGACTGCATTAGCTTTCAAATGCATTGTTTTTATGCATTGCAGTGTTTAGGGTTCTTACGGTCATTAAAAACCTGGAAAAGTCATGGAAATTCAAAATGCTAATTCTAGGTCCTGGAAAAGTTATGGAAAACAATATCTTTCCCAAAGTTTTGAAAAGTCATGGAAATGTAACTAAAGTTGCATCAAATATAATTTATATTTTATCTAATCGCCGAAATAGTAATACTATAATGATAATAAATACTGTATCATATAGTAATGAAACGTAAAATGGCATTTAACTGACGAGGTGTTTTGCTGGTGAGAGATTTGAGTGGTTCTCAAACTTTTTCTGTCAGGCCCCCCCAACACAAGTCAGGCTCAGTGGCGGCGCCAGAGATTTATTTTGGGGGTGCTCTGGGGTAGCTTGACGTTTCATAGAGGGTGCTCAAACATTTAGGGTTTCCCATTAATGTCCCGGTCTACAGTGGAATGTTCTACTGCAACACTCCCCACGCACACACACAGTGTGACAGTTACAATGAAGGCTCGATAATCAGTTCACGGCCTATAGGTGTAAGCTGGGGTCAAGTGCTATTTTTATAGGTGGTGTGTGGACCTCACATAGGGGGGTCCGGGGGCAAGTTCCCCCGGGACGATTTTTTTTTAAATATTGAAGTTAAATGCATCAATCTGGTGCACTTTGAGAGCAACATGAAGAGATCTATGGACACATCTCTCAACACCCAGATGAAACAGAACTGTAAACAGATTTACTTTTTCTTTATGGATATTTTACAAATCTCCCTTTTAAACTTTATTCTTTTTTTACTGTCATATAGTATTTCATAGCTGTTTTTCTTTTATTCTCTTATTTTTTTATAACTATAATGATCATATAAACGTGTGCCTCGGAAATAATTGTTTACATTAATGGTGACCAAAACGTTTGAGACCCACTGAGATAACACTGAGAGTCCTTTAGCTCACTGAGTCTCTCAGTCTGACAGGAGAGGACTCTCCTCCACTTTGTTGTTGAAAAAACTCCTTATATCCGTTAGCGTCGCTCGCTAGCACCAGAAGCTAACAACAACGATCTCCGGTACCGGTGCGCTCTCTCTCTCGCTCGTGCACACAAAATGGCTCGTTCCACACACACACAGAGCCGAGCTTTAAGGAAACACAGAGACCCAGACGTAATAGTACTGCATCATATTATTTTCGAATCAATAATTTTTCAAATTATGATTTCTTTTTCTTTTTTTATCTTTTCTTTTTTTTTTATAACCATTTTTCCTCCTGGTCTCTCGCGCGCCCCCTGGCATGCCTCTGAGCCCCCCACTTTGAGAACCACTGCTTTAGCGTGTAGAAGCTAGTAAGCCTATTTGATTTGTTTTAGATAGGCTCAACATGTTTCAGATGCAGACCTTATTTTCCTGTTCCATATTAAAATAAACCATTTTCAGTGGTACCGCTGAGAAAGAGTCATGGAAATTAGGTAAAGGTCATGGAGAAGTCATTGAAAATCATTGGTGAAAAAGTGTTGCATTTGATTTGTGCTATAAAGCTGTCATTGATATTTGTGCAGGTCAATTGAAGCATTCCTTTAAATCATATTTGTGTCGTGCTGTGATGTCAGTTTGCTGAGTTGTATTGATATACAGTCATAACAATAAGTGTATACACTGTGTCCTCGGAAATGGACTCAAGACAACTACATACACATCTTCTGCTGTCTAATATAAAAAACTCTTTTTTTTTTTTTTCAGACATTAGATGGCTTTATTTTTGTGGTTGCTCCAGATGGGAAGATAATGTACATCTCAGAAACCGCCTCCGTCCACTTGGGCCTATCGCAGGTTGGTTTGACAATCTGAATGTAATCTCCTCTGATGTGGGCTTCATGTGTCACACTCCTGAGATGATTGTTCATTTACACAGGTAGAGTTGACGGGAAACAGCATTTATGAATACATCCACCCAGCAGACCATGATGAAATGACAGCCGTCCTCACAGCTCACCAGCCTCACCATTCACACTTTGTTCACGGTAACCCAAAGCACAGCCAAGTTGTACAATATATGAAATGGACTCATCAAACAGAAATAACTGCATGTGTTTTCATTCTCTGCAGAATATGAAATGGAGCGCTCCTTCTTTCTGAGAATGAAATGTGTCCTCGCTAAAAGAAATGCTGGTCTTACCTGTGGAGGCTACAAGGTAATATCGTTGTCACTTTTAATTGAAAAATTGGAAGATGATTACCCCTCCTGTTGTCTTCGGGTCAAATCTGACCGATTCACTACTTTCATCAATCATAACTTCTTTGTTTTACATTCGATTGCATCAAGGCTTCATGATATCCTTCACAGTAGACCTTTGAACATATCACATTGCTGATCACCACTTTCATTGGATTGTGGATGATTTAGTCAACTTTGTAACACCCATGGTGTTCCCGCTCAAAAATGACCTCCATAAAGAAAAGGAATTAGTAACCATCCGGATCAGATAAAACACACACACACACACACACACACACATACTCTAGATGTGTTCCCCCCCTTATGTGCCCATCCCCCCATGTGAATCACACCTGGCACACACACACACACACAGAACAATGATACATTTCCCGCTCTTATGTGCCCATCCCCCCACATGGATCACACCTGGCACACACAATACATGTTCAGTGTCTGTTCTTTGTATATTTACTGCAGTTTTCCATATATACCAGTAGTCTGATACAATACTTACAGTTTGAAAGGGTGTTACATGAAATGTGATGATTAATGGTTTTTGTGTCAATGTAATAGCAGTTAAAACAGGACCGGTCAAATTTGACCGCGAACACCAAAGTAAGGGGGGGGAACAAAGACAATAGGAGGGTTAAAAACATGTTCTGTTAAGTCATATCTATCAACAAAAATAAGTCAAATTAACATTCCAAAAAGTGTGACTGAGAAACCTCATAATAAATGTGTTCTGTTGAAAGTTGGTCCTCTGAATAGAAATCTGGTGAATCTTTTAACTAGATGTCAAATTGGGCAGCTCTGCTATTGGCAACCAATGGCTGAAATGCTAGTGACACCATGACATGTATGCAGTTGTCAATAGAATGAACATCAATATACTTTTGCTGTTTTTATTATATGACGCGCTCGTTTCTGTGCAATGTTCACATTTTGACCTGAAGGTAGGGTTAGTGGTGTTTAGAATAAAAACTGGAGAGCATCATTGCATTCAGTACATTTTATAGCAACAATCTAAAAAGTCTCTATAAAGTGGGAAGCATAATATCAATATGTGTCTGCATCGGATAAAAGTGTTGAATGGGCAAGGTAGGCATTATGGACACTGGTTCTGCAGACAGCAGTGGCCTGATATCCTTTGATCCTTTCACACCAGTGTTAAAGGCTGATGGTTGTTCAATCCTTGTGAAGATCCGTCTTATTTGTGCATTTTTAAGTCCATCTCAGGTTACATGTTGAACTAATTGTCTGCTGTTAAAGACAGTGCCTTGGCAGATTAGTTTGCTTAGCTAGGTTCCACCTTCTTGCCAGACACACATTTAGTTATTTTTCCAAAAAACCTAGTTGGCTCTGTGAGGCAGGGATAAGTGGGAAAGAAGAGACAAGGAAGATTTCTATTTTAATAGGCATTTCAAAAATGAAGTCAGAATGTTGAGAATAAAGTCAAACTCAGTATAATTGCTGACCTTTTCCCTCTGAAACCCTACTATTGCACAGGTAGAGTACAGGTGAATTGTCATTGTCAGGATTCCCCAGACTGGCCTGGGCAACACGACCAAGAAGAAGTCACAATGTCAGGCGTACATAATACTGCTGCTGTGTTTCTGAATAGGACCTAAAGGCAGCCTAAACATGTATGTGTTGATATTTATCCATTTTGTCTCCACCTGGGAACTGTTCAGGTGATCCACTGCAGCGGCTACCTGAAGATCCGTCAGTACAGCCTGGACATGTCTCCGTTTGACGGCTGCTATCAGAACGTGGGGCTGGTGGCTGTGGGTCACTCGCTCCCCCCCAGCGCTGTCACTGAGATCAAACTGCACTCCAACATGTTCATGTTCAGAGCCAGCCTGGACATGAAGCTCATCTTCCTCGACTCACGGTACGTCCTGCATGACACGCTGGTGTGTCCGCCTGCAGTGGTTACACACAGTGTGAAGGCATATGGTGTGTACATGTCTGGGTAGGACTTGTTACGCTTGTTTGTATGTGAAAGTGTGTACTTGTAAATGTGGGAAGGATTCATGTTAATGAACCCTGTGTGTGTGTGTGTGTGTGTGTGTGTGTGTGTGTGTGTGTGTGTGTGTGTGTGTGTGTGTGTGTGTGTGTGTGTGTGTGTGTGTGTGTGTGTGTGTGTGTGTGTGGCTCAGGGTTGCAGAGCTGACAGGCTACGAGCCTCAGGATCTAATAGAGAAGACCCTCTACCATCATGTGCACAGCTGTGACTCCTTCCACCTGAGATGTGCTCATCACTTGTGTGAGTTAGGTTTGTTTTACCTTCCTACAAAACCTCTCCCGACACACAGACACACAGACACACAGACACACAGACACACAGACACACACACAATGTTACCTTGTAATGTGATCAAACCTCATGTAATGTCAGGCCAGGTCTATGATGGTTTTATGTAACTGTAGGTTCAATCACATTTCACAGTCTTTACAGTGTGTGTAGCATACGACACCCTCTGTCCTGCTTAGACCCTAACAAGAAGGAAAAACTGACAAAGAATCTTCACAATTAACGGGAGAAATTAGGGCTGCTCGATTCATAATCTCGATTATTTGGGTCAATAATTGATATCACGCGATTATTCAAAACGATTATCCATTTACTTTGAAAACATCAATCTATTGGAGAATCTTTTTTGAACAATATGTTTTTCAACTGAAAAAACAATAATAAAAAAATTAATAATAAAAGAATAATCGTTTTATTGCGATTACGTTGTTTTCGTAATCGTTGCAAGCCATAATCGTAATTGCGATTAAAATACGATGAATTGAGCAGCCCTAGGAGAAATGGAAAAAACCTTGAATAGAAAAACAGAGGAGGGATCCAACTCCCAGGACGGACTACTGATATGTGTCTTTTGTACACATTAAACAATATAATACATTTACTACAATCCAAATGATAAAAGTAAATAACAAAGATCGATCCAGGTAAATGTCAACAACTTAAAAAAACCAAGAACATGGGTGTCAGGCTGGACCAGCAGCTGTTCTCTTTGAATGATTAGGCAATAGAACCTCCATACGTTCATATGAAACAGCTATTCACGATGCCATAGATCAAATGAAACACACTTAGCATAGTGTTTTAATCTGTCTCATTTCCTTTGCTGTATTTCAAAATGTTTATGTCATTTTACATGACCCCCCCCCCCCCCCCCCCCCCCCCCCCCCCCCCCCCCCCGCAGTAATAACTTGCTGTCTTGTGTTTCTTTTGGCGTTGCAGTGCTGGTGAAAGGTCAGGTCACAACTAAGTACTACCGTTTCCTGGCCAAGCCTGGAGGCTGGGTCTGGGTTCAGAGTTATGCAACCATCGTTCACAACAGCCGCTCGTCCCGCCCTCACTGCATCGTCAGCGTCAACTATGTCCTCACGTGAGTCTCTCTTCCTGCATGCTGCTGCACTTCATGACTGAACACCACTCAGAGATGCTTCAGGTGGACTTGAGACAAACGGTATTGTTTTGTTTGTGTCTTACCTCTGGTGTTAGTGCTTCTTTTCTCAGAGATGACATGTTGTGCCAGGACTGCACCATGTTTTAATTCAAGGAAACATTACTGTAATTAGTTGTATCTTTCAACGATGGTAACTAAGGAGTGTGCCACACAAATACCTGTGTCATTAGTTTGATTGTTGACACAAAAGACCTCCGTTGTTTTAGTTCTGTGGAGCAGCTATACAATATATTCATACAGTCCAATTGTACTCCACAGAGGACATCCTGGGCTTTTCAAACATATCACATATGTGGGGGTGTGGCTTTGAAAAAGATCATTTCATTGTATTTCAAAATGGCGTCCATCTACACAAGCACTATTTATAGAAAGAGAAATGGTAAGTTTGTAATTTTGTAATTACCAGTGTTGTGAGTTCAATATTTTAATTAATGATAGTAAGGGAACATCTTAGGAGTTAGTGTAGTGAGTTTCAGAGCAGTGTAATACTTATTTGACCTAAAACTAAATGTTTTTATGAACACAAACACAACACAAATGGAGGCCACTATGAGCCAAACTAACACGTAGGTTTCTGTAGGGTTCGTGGCAGACGGATGCAGTGGGGAAACAGACATCAAGTGCCTCAAGTGTCAGATGTATCTGTGCATTTCAGAGTGCTACAAATGAGGGCTCAGTATTTGTTGCATTGAGTTGTTGTGCTCTAATGTTGTCTAAATGTACTTGTATGTTAATGTTGTTTGTATACTATGCTTTGCATAACTAACACCCGATGTCCTCTACAAAGGACACACAATACAATTCAAATATATGTTTGTAGTTTTCGTTAGTCATTATGTTAATACCACCCTAAAGACTTGTGTGATCAAAAAAGGACATTTGAAAGCTTTTCTTTCTGGGTCTCAGGAGGATATAGAAGGTTAAAGGAGTATTACGCAACAGCAACAGACCTGAAAGCATACATTTTATAATAGTGTATGTGTTTGACTCAAAGATTACTATCCGAGTGTTTTTGTTGATGATGAGCCACTCGGTAGCTCCACTACCTTCACACAGTCAGTTCTCTGGCTGCACGTTGACAGCAGCACGTCAGGAGCAGCTCACATGGATATCTAGTCTGTAATATATAGAAGCCCTGATTTCATATCATTCTAAAGATCAGTGGAGTCAGCAACTTGCAAACCCATTCCGGAAATGAGATGTTGTGCAAATGTAAACACAGTCCTTATAGTTTGTAAATGTGTTGCACTTGACCTCTTGATACAGAACACGTATTTACATGAGAGTTGAAATGGTATGGTCAGCTGACAGCTCAGGGCAGAGGCTCTGTGTCTGTCAGCTCTGCTGTGATGAGATAATGAGTGTTGGTACTAGAGATGTACGCAAACAGTCGCTGTGAAGCAATTAACTGGAGGCTAATTGGAAATATGACACGTGTTTGTTGAAGCCTGGTTTGCAGAATAGCGATAAAGAATGATTGCCAGGTCATATTCTGAGTTAGAAAGAAAAGGAAATGATTTCCCAGAACGTTCTGCTCTTCTACCTTTGATGGTAGTCCACATTCCTGTCCCATCACTGTCTGCTGTCTTGTTAGAAACCCTTAGTTGAAGTGTTCTGAGTGTGCTCATGTGCTGGCTGTTACCTGTGCGGGGCCTCAGTCACCTGGAAGAGTTTATGTTGGACTGCAGCCCTGCCTCACAGTATCTGAGCTGCAGCAGACGCTGGTGGAGCGTTATCTGGCCTCCATCCTGCCCCAGCAGCAAGGGGTCCTCATTACAAGCTGCTGCTTTTCTCTTCCTTCCAATCAAATCAAACTGTCATCATGGCACAGCATGAGACACTCTTATTAATGAGTGAGTGATACCAGTACTCGCCTACTGTACTGCTGTTTTATTACCCCTGATGTGCATATTTCACAGATGTACCAGTGAGCGTGTGAATGGATAGTGGCCCTAAAAGCCTCCATTAAGCAGCTTCACACACATTCCCTGCACCTCCTGCATCGAATCCACAACAGCCTGGTGTTTATGGCCTCTTAATTGATAGGCTGTAAACTTGATGAGCGTTTATGGGCTCCAGCTTGCTGCGAGGGAATGAAGCCTGAACACAATGTGGACATGTCTGTAGCTTGCTTGGGAACTATATGTGATAAGATGCTCATTTCTGAAGATGCAGTGCTCATTCCTGCACTACTCTATCAACGGGACGACAGACAGTGAGATGTGTGTGAGCTTGTGTTGCTTTCAGGAGCAGTGTTTGTTAGCCCACTAGCTTATCGTATGCCGCCATAGATAACACAGCTGATAAGACCACTTCACCTGCATGTGAACTCCTACTGTGTGTTCAGCTCTGATGACCTGTGCTCCTGCTACCTCCACCGGACAGTGATTTAAGCATGCTTTGAATAACCACAGGGGTTTAGTCGGTGCATGCTGTTCAGTTCCTTTCTGATTCAGCCCAAACTTATATCTCTACACACACACATTCAAACCTTCTGGTTAAAGTGAACACATCATCAGTTCGCAATACAAAAACGTTCATTTAATATAAAACATTTGATATAAACATGATGTGTCTACATGTTCAATCAATCAATCAATCAATGTTTATTTATATAGCCCAATATCACAAATGTTACATTTGTCTCAGTGGACTTTACAGTTTGTACAAAATATCAGTATGACAATACGACACCCTCTGTCCTTAGACCCTCACATCGTACAAGGAAAAACTTCCGGAGAAAACCCACAGTTTAAAGGGAAAAATGGGAGAAACCTCAGGGAGAGCAACAGAGGAGGGATCCCTCTCCCAGGACGGACAGACGTGCAATAGATGCCGTGTGTAAATTGAAAAGATAATACATTTGCAACATAGGTAGTCCAAATGTTTGGAAATGCATGTGTGTATAATAGGAAGATGAATCCACGAGGATATCCATCCGGGACCTATGATCCAGGACCACAGCCACGACTCAAGATCCAGGGCTCGCGATCCAGGACAGAGGAGCGCAGGATCATCCATGACTCCGGATCCCGGCGTATATAGACACCAAAAAGACAGACATTTGGGGAAGCTGGGTTAATCGGAACATGAGAGTACACAAGTATGGACAGAGAGAAGGAAGAAGTAAGATGTCCCCCGACAAACTAAGCCTATATCAGCAAAACTAGGGGCTGGATCTAATCAGCCCTAACTATAAGCTTTATCAAAAAGGAAGGTCTTAAGCGCACTCTTAAAAACGGATAGGGTGTCTGCCGCCCGAACACAAACTGGAAGCTGATTCCACAAATGTGGAGCTTGATAAGAAAAGGCTCTGGCTCCCATTGTACTTTTAGAGACTCTAGGAACAACCAACAACCCTGCATTCTTGGAACGCAATGCCCTAGTAGGACAGTAGGGTATAATGAGTTCTTTAAGGTAAGATGGCGCCTGCCCATTAAGGGCTTTGTAGGCGAGAAGAAGAATTTTAAATTCTATCCTGTGTTCTATAGGGAGCCAGTGTAAGGCAGCCAGAACAGGAGTAATGTGGTCCCTTTTCCTAACTCTGGTTAGTACACGAGCCGCAGCATTTTGAATCAGCTGAAGCGACTTGACTGACTTCTTGGTACACCCTGATAATAAAGAGTTACAATAATCCAGCCTTGAAGTAACAAATGCATGGACTAGTTTCTCTGCATCGTTTTGAGGCAAGATATGCCTGATTTTTGCAATGTTACGTAGATGGAAGTAGGCGGTCCTTGAAATTGATTTTATGTGGGCGTTAAAGGATAAATCCTGATCAAATATAACACCAAGATTCCTTACAGTCTCACTGGAGGCCAAATTAATGCCATCCATAGTTAGTATATCCTTAGATAATTTGTTTCGTAGATTCTTCGGGCCAAGTACAATAACTTCAGTTTTGGTCGTGTTTAACATCAAAAAGTTTAAGGTCATCCACGTTTTTAAGTCCTTAAGGCAGTCTTGAATTTTATTTAGATGATTAATTTCATCAGGCTTGATTGATAAATATAGTTGAGTATCATCCGCATAACAATGAAAGTTTACAGAATGATTCCTTATAATATTGCCTAACGGAAGCATATATAATGTGAACAAAATAGGTCCGAGCACTGAGCCCTGTGGCACTCCATGGCTAACTTTGGTTTGCGTGGAAGATTCATCATTGACACGTACAAACTGAGAGCGTTCAGATAGATAGGACCTAAACCAGTCTAAAGCAGTTCCCTGTATGCCAACTAAGTGCTCTAGTCTTTGCAATAAGATATCATGGTCGATAGTATCAAATGCAGCACTGAGATCGAGCAAAACAAGAATAGAGACACGTCCCTTGTCAGAGGCTATTAGAATGTCATTTGTGACTTTAACCAGAGCTGTCTCTGTGCTATGATGTGTTCTAAAGCCAGACTGAAAAGCTTCAAATAAATCATTGTTTTTTAAGTAATCACACAACTGTTTTGCGACCGCTTTCTCAAGAATTTTTGAGAGGAACGGAAGATTAGAAATAGGTCTATAGTTGGCTAAAACCTCTGGATCGAGGTTGTGCTTTTTAAGAAGCGGTTTTATCACTGCTACTTTGAATGATTGTGGAACATAGCCTGATAATAAAGACATATTCATAATATTTAATAAATAAGTGCTAATTAATGGAAAAACTTCCTTCAACAGCTTAGTTGGAATTGGGTCTAACATGCACGTTGATGGTTTAGAAGAGAGAATCATTGAATTTAATTGTTCAAGGTTAATGGCTGAAAAGCATTCTAGTTTACTATCTAGTGTAATATTAGAACTTACGTTTCCGGGAGCTGTTGATAACACTATACTGGTCAAAGGCAAGAGGTCATTAATTTTGTTTCTAAGAGTAACAATTTTATCGTTAAAAAAGCACATAAAATCATTACTACTGAGTGCTATGGGAATAGAAGGCTCAATCGAGCTGTGGCTTTCTGTCAGCCTGGCTACAGTGCTGAAAAGAAATCTTGCATTATTCTTATTCTCATCTATTAATGAAGAGTAGTAGGCTGCTCTCGCTTTACGCAGTGCTTTCTTATATTCATTGAGAGTAATATGCCAAATTAAACGAGATTCTTCAAGTTTAGTGGAACGCCATATCCTTTCAAGTTGTCTCGACTTTTGCTTTATTTTGCGGGTTTCGGCATTATGCCATGGAGCTAGTCTATGTTGTTTTATTTTCTTCTTTTTCAAAGGAGCAACAGAGTCTAATTTTATTCGCAGCGCATCTGTAGCACTATCAACAACATGATCAATTTGGGGTGGTGTACATTTTGTATAAGTTTCCTCCCCTACATGCAGACATGCTATCGAGTTAAGTATTGGTGGAATCTCTTCCTTAAATTTGGCTATAGCACTAACAGATAGGTTTCTGCTGCAGGAACGTTTGACTAATGCTTTGTAGTCTAGTAACAGTACTTCAAAAGTTACTAAGAAATGGTCGGATAAAGCAGGATTATGCGGTTTGACTAATAGTTGCTCAATTTCAATACCATAAGTCAGAACAAGGTCGAGAGTGTGATTATAGCAGTGGCTTGGTTTATTTACACTCTGACAAAAACCAACAGAATCTAATATAGAGTTAAATGCAACAGTAAGGCTATTTTTATCGTCGTCAACATGAATATTAAAGTGACCGACGATAATTACTTTATCTGTTTTAAGAACCAAAGTTGATAAAAACTCAGAGAATTCTGATAATAATTCTGAATAAGGACCTGGTGCACGGTACACTGTAACAAATAAGATTGGCTGCAAAGTTTTCCAGGTCGGATGCGTAAGACTAAAAACGAGACTTTCAAAGGAGGTATAATTTAATTTTGGTTTAGTATTGATAAGTAAACTTGAGTCAAAGATTGTTGTTGATGTTGAGATGTTGTCTCATGTAGTGAGTCATTTAGCACACTGGTTCTTCTTAACAATCTGAAGAATCATCAGGTGGTGAACAAGAGAACACAGAGGAACGTTGACTTGTCAGAAGATAATGTTGTTTGACTTGTGTCTAGTGTCTTAGCATCTCTTCCCCAGACCTGTAGCAGTTTTGGGTCGAGGGGTAACCGGAACATTTCTGCTTTTACATTTTTCTCTTGCTACCATTTCTTTGTATTGAATCAATAGCAACAATCCACACAGGCGCTGTCGTGTGTGTTCCCCCCGGGGGTCTGGAAGCTATGGATGTGTTAGCCAGCGATCACTCTCGTGTCTGAACCGGTTAGTTGACCGACAGGAAGATTCATGAGCAAATAGGAATGAAACAATTGGTATTTCAAGCAGATATGCCAAACATTGCTGATTAAGGATGCTGCCTGTGAGCATCGGCTCTTATTCCATTTCAAAGGTTGGGTAGTGTGCTCTAGGTGTGTGTGCATGTGTCTGCAAAGAGGCTGCATCCCCGTGTTCCTCCAGAGGCTCTGCCCACAGGAGCTCCAGAACCTTCACTGGTCTTTGGATACTCTCTTCCAATATGTGGTATCTTTTCTCTCAGGAGATATTGATGAGGATGAGGATGGTGGTGATGATGATGATGATGATGGTGATGATGATGATGGTGATGATGATGATGATGATGGTGATGATGATGATGGTGATGATGATGATGATGATGGTGATGATGATGGTGGTGATGATGGTGGTGATGATGATGATGATGGTGGTGGTGATGATGGTGATGATGATGATGATGATGGTGGTGATGATGATGATGGTGGTGGTGGTGGTGGTGATGATGATGATGATGGTGGTGATGATGATGACGATGATGGTGATGATGATGGTGGTGATGATGATGATGATGATGGTGATGATGATGGTGGTGATGATGATGATGATGGTGGTGGTGATGATGGTGATGATGATGATGATGATGGTGGTGATGGTGATGATGATGATGATGATGATGATGGTGATGATGATGGTGGTGATGATGGTGGTGATGATGATGATGATGGTGGTGGTGATGATGGTGATGATGATGATGATGATGGTGGTGATGATGATGATGGTGGTGGTGGTGGTGATGATGATGATGATGGTGGTGATGATGATGGTGGTGGTGGTGGTGATGATGATGATGATGGTGGTGGTGATGATGGTGATGATGATGACGATGATGGTGGTGATGATGATGATGGTGGTGGTGGTGGTGATGATGATGATGATGGTGGTGGTGATGATGGTGATGATGATGATGATGATGGTGGTGATGATGATGATGGTGGTGGTGATGATGGTGATGATGGTGGTGGTGATGATGATGATGATGATGATGATGATGATGATGGTGATGATGATGGTGGTGATGATGATGATGATGATGGTGGTGATGATGATGACGATGATGGTGATGATGATGATGACGATGATGGTGATGATGATGGTGGTGATGATGGTGGTGGTGGTGGTGATGATGATGATGATGGTGGTGGTGATGATGGTGATGATGATGATGATGATGATGGTGGTGGTGGTGATGATGATGATGGTGGTGGTGGTGATGATGATGATGATGGTGGTGGTGGTGATGATGGTGGTGATGGTGGTGGTGATGATGATGACGATGATGGTGGTGGTGATGATGATGATGATGATGATGGTGGTGATGATGGTGGTGGTGGTGGTGATGATGATGATGATGATGATGATGGTGGTGGTGATGGTGGTGGTGATGATGGTGATGATGATGATGATGATGGTGGTGGTGATGATGGTGGTGGTGGTGGTGATGATGATGATGATGATGATGGTGGTGATGATGGTGGTGGTGGTGATGATGATGATGATGATGATGGTGGTGGTGATGATGGTGGTGGTGATGATGATGGTGGTGATGATGGTGGTGGTGGTGATGATGATGATGATGATGATGATGGTGGTGGTGGTGATGATGATGATGATGATGATGGTGGTGGTGATGATGATGATGGTGATGATGATGATGATGATGATGGTGGTGATGATGATGATGGTGATGGTGATGATGATGATGGTGATCACTCCAAATCTCCCACAAATGTTTCTAGTTTGGTTGAAATCTGGTGATACTGACGGCCAAATCCACATGATTCACATCAGAAAATGTCTGCCTGCCAGAATCATAGTTAGAGTTGCAGTATTTAATGAATGTGGTATTTTAGGACTCTCTCCAAATGGAACTGAAGCCAATCCTGCGCATGTTTGTGTGATAGTGTTTGTGTAGACAACGATCGAGACAGAGAGGAGATGTGAGCGGAAGATGGATCAATGTTTGTCTCAAGTAAACCCTGTCCAGGTTTTTCTGTTCTGCAACTTGAATCATCATCCATTGTGAGATCTGTAGAACACTTTAGCAAGAAATCCATTCCCATTTCCCACAAGTGAGACATCCTTGCTTCTCCTATGGGCCTGATTGAGCCAGACATAGCCTTTAATCTCCCCGTGTATTTGATTGGACAGCTTTCCCTCTGTAGAGTGTTTGTTGAAGGCCTTGCTGCAATCCTTCTGGTAAAACAAGCATCCCAACAACCGTTCCAACCCTCTTAGCACCCCCCCCCCCCCCCTCCCAGCAGTCGCTTTCACACACACACAAACCCATCTCCCCACATGCTGCCCCTCTCATCTCCATGATGAGGCTCTCAATGCTCAGCAGATGTCAATGGGGTTTTTTGCACTTCGAGAAAAACCAAACACGCAGGTACACATGTGCTGTTTGTGTAATTAATAAGCAGCCTTTCAAGGAGACTGGGATCTGTCCTTGTGTAATCAAAGACTGCTTATAAATGTGAAATGCAAAACATAAGGGATTTAACGGTGAGTGTATGCTTGTGTGTTTAGGGAGACAGAGTATAAAGGGCTCCAGCTGTCTCTGGACCAGGCCAGGTCCACGGCCTCCTTGCCCTGCAGCAGCAGCAGCTCCGCCAGCCTGACGGAGCCTTGCAGAACCCCCAAGAGCAGAGTGACCCGGCCCAAGACCAAAGCCAGGCTCTCCCCTTACACACAGGTGAGGATTACATGGCATATACCCAGAGGTGTAAAGTAACTAAGTAGATTTACTCAAGACTACTTAAGAACCATTTTGAGGTACTTTGAGTATTTCAATGTTGTACTTGTTTGTACTTCTACCCCACTACAGTTCAGAGGTACATGGTGTACTTTTAATCCACTCCATGTATTTAATACCTTCAGTTACTTCACAGATGTGGATGAATGATGTGAAATATAATCAAGTGTTGAATCAGACTTTAGTTCCACCTGGAGTAAATCCACAAGCTACCCTGCAGTATACAAAGTCATTCAAACTAGCTGCACCTTTACTTTAAATACACTTAGATGCTAATACTTTTTTACTTTTACTTGAGAAACATTTTGAATGCAGGACTTTAATTAGTTACAGAGTAATATTACACTCTGGTACTTGTACTTTGACCTAGGTACAAGATGTGAGTACTTCTCCCACCTCTGCTTAATGCCATGCTGTGATGTGAACTGTGCTCTCAAACTTCATATGTATGGCTTGTGTCCACATAGGGTTTCCTTCTGGCAGAAAGGCTCTTTGTCCATTGTTTCTATGACAACAATATCTCATCACTACTGTTTGACAAACTAGTTGTTGGGTTTCTGAGCTTGGGGCGTAGCATGTGACAGCATTGACTCCTGCTGATTGTAAACTCTGATGAATGTTAATAATAATTTCACTTTTTCATGCTCATTACATTTTCTATATTGTTGTTTAGCCGTGCTTTCACAGTGGTTACCTACATTCAAATATAGGTGAAACAGGGCTTGTCATGTGAGTCACAATTAAAAAAAAGACTCTATGCCAGGTGTTCCACACAGCCGAGCATTTTCTGGAGACCAATGCCCAGGTAATCAGTAGAGGTAGAACATGTTCTAACATGGAAACAAGTACCATATTAAACATAACCCCTAAACAATGACAAACAGTCAGCTAAGCATCTCAAACATGGAAGATCTGCCTCCTGATTTGAAGGCTTCGTATAATATATGTCCTTGTCTCCCTACATTCTCCCTGCAGTATCCTAGTTTCCAGATGGAGCGCTCAGAGTCTGACCAGGAGAGCCCGTGGGGCAGCAGCCCCCTCACAGACTCAGCCTCCCCCCAGCTGCTGGAGCACAGTGAGGGTCTGGATGCCTCCTGTGTGTACAGACAGTTCTCTGACCCCCGACCGCTCTGCTACAGCCTGTCTGAAGAGCACCATCACAACAGCAGCGACGGCTACACACACCTCCACTCACAGGGTCAAGGTCAGAGCTGTGAGCGAGGTCGATGTGAGGCAGGACGATACTTTCTAGGAGCACCCCCACCTGGGCGGGACGCGTGGTGGGGCAACACCCGGTCTGTCCTGCCGCTGAGCAAGAGCTCCCTGGAGAACCACGAAGGATATGACAGCAGCGTGCCGCACATCACGGCCATCCACAGCCACCACGGTGAGGAGCAGAGACTGGACCCTGGCAGCCGTCATAGTTTAGACTGAACATACAACTGGTAGTCTGGGAGGATATTCTTATTTCAGAGCCTCTGATAGATCAGTGGTGCTTCATGAGACCTCAAATCCATCCCCTTCAGATACTGCCTTTCTAGTTCTCTGAGCACTCTCAGCACTGTCAAACAACATGTCAACATTAACCCTTTTAGAAACACACTAAGGTTAGTTAGTTAGTAAGCTAACATTAGCAAGCTTCTATCTAGCACACTGACAAGGAATCTCTCCCTTAACTAAGTTAAGCTAAGTACTTTTATTTATTTATTTAGCAGTGTGCTAATATGCTGGCATGTATTAGTTGATCAAATTGCTACATACATCAAGAGGCACTAGAAAGTAGTAATGACATGTAGAACCACCTGATTGCATTGTAGCGGTTCATGTTCTCACATATAACACATATGTATGAAGAAGGGTCTGTACCTGGTCTTGGTCACTACTCCAGTGTTGCAATTCAAACGTATTAGTGTCCATACAGGGAAATAGCTTTGTTGGTGATGCATTGTTTGCAAATAATATGACATGAGTAGAAGTCATTTCTAACAACAGTGAAAGAGATTACTAGAGGGAGTTTCTCATTCCTGGTGTGCTTCAACAACTTGGAGTTGAATATTTCAAACACAAAATAAGTATGATTGACTCAAGTAAGAGTGACAGCGACCATGTACCTCTATTCAGAAATGGTCAGGTTGAGCTCTGCAAATGTATGGTTGTAACAAATCTTCTTCAGAGTGGCTAGGCGACACTCGCTGATATGTTTTCCATCCTCATCTTTCGTAAAGAAATTGGTGGACAGAATGGAACACACAGAATGGAACACACAGAATCAGAAATGAAAGGGCAGGCATGATCCCGCCCTGCTGAGATGTGCACCATAAGACCCTTTTCATGCCGTGCCTGTGTGTTAGCGGTTACTATATGTGATGTGGTGTCTCAACAAACAGTTACTGGACTTTGTTGAACTGACTGTTCTCATTGTGTGCTCTGCAGGCCGGGGGGGCCACTGGGACGAGGAGAGCGTGGTGAGCTCTCCGGATGGGGGCTCCGCCAGTGACTCGGGGGACCGGTACCACGCTGACCACTACCGCTGCAGCCCCCAGGAGCCCAGCAAGATCGAGACCCTGATCCGAGCCACGCAGCAGATGATCAAGGAAGAAGAAAGTCGACTGCACAAGGGCCCTCAGGAGGTCCCACTGGGGCCGGCCAATGGGCTGCCCAAGGGTCCCGGCCCATGCTTCACTCCAGAGTATAGTCAAGGGCCCCTCCCTCTACAGACGGTGGTGTGTCGAGGTCTGAGTCAGGTGATCAGCCCTGCCCCTAGTCCCGCCCCTCTGTCCAGGCTCAGCAGTCCAGGTCCTGAGCGCCTCCACAAGCCCAAAGACTACCTCCAGACAGACGTGTCCCCCCTCTCTCTGCCATTACACCACGCGTTCGGGCGGTTGGGGCCGTGCTCTTCCTCCCCCCCCACGGCCCCCGTCCTCTACCCCTCCCACACCCACCCTCGGCCCTACTTGGACAAGCATAAGAGCTACTCCCTGACAGGCTACGCTCTGGAGCATCTCTACGACCCAGAGAGCCTGCGAGGCTACTGCACCTCCACCAGCACGGGCCCCCCCCCACTACGATGTGACCCCTCACCTCCGTATGGCAGCAGAGCAGACCCCCGGACATAAAGGCACCTCTGTCATTATTAGCAATGGCAGCTAACACTGACAGAGGGACTCAGAGCCTGAGCTGGTTAGCTTTCCTTAGTCTGGATCCTGTTAGCCTGATTTCCCATCATACTGATCCCCCTCAGCAAGCCGATGCTTTAGAGCTACATTGTTGCTCTACTTCCCCCCCAAGCATTATAACAAGTCCATTTCTAAATGTCTCATTCAAAGATTGTAATGTCATTATTTACAAGGTTGAACCACCGCACATTCACATAATTACTGCAGCGCCTGTTTGAATGGTAAGTGATGCAATTATGAAGCCGCTTTAAGTCTTAACAAGTCTTCCAAATAAAAGGACGATGTATTTCATGTATATAGTTCCAGAGCACTTGCTAAGAAATGATGCTGTTGTTTCTGAGTGGACAGTCTCAACAATGTAGGTCAACTGGAGATGTAATCAAGGACATCTGAATATATTGGAGCAGCATTTCTCCATGCTGAGCCAACTGTCAGGCAAACAGAAAGGGAAGCAGTATACAGTGTAGCAACACTGTAGTGAAGCTAATAGCCCTTATGTTTGAAAGGAGGGGGGGAGTAAGACATTGCATTGGTCTCAGCTTATTGCAAAAACAAACAACACTTTGGTCAAAACCGATCAGTATGATGGAAGAAAATGGAAAACAGGGCTGGGTATAAAATGTCTGGAGTTGTGCTTTAACATCCGCCCCAGTGCGTGTAACCGTTTGCACTATAAGAGATGGGCCTTTGTGAGGAGGGGGGTTTGGTGTTCATGCAGCGATGCAGAGCACAGGTTAGCCCTGAAGTCAAGAATGTCATTTGAACTTCACCGAAAAATATGCAAAGCCATTCTATGGATGTTTCTTTTCTCTCCGTGGCGGTAAATACAGTTCAGAAAACACCGGTAATGACTCTCATGACTGTACGCTGGAAGCCATGGATACTGAACGTGTTGTTGGAAAGGTTTTAAAGGGCAAGTCTGATGCTTTGATATTTGATGTCTGATTGGCAAGACAATAATTACACGATTACGTCCTATATCATTCGTTTTTGTAACCAGAAAGTATCATCCAAGGACAAAAGACATGGGACATATTGTGTTATTTGAGTGATTGTAAGAAGACCATATGCAAGTAACCCGTTGGAATGGCAGCTCAGGCTGATCCCTGAAGCAACTGTTAATAATGGTTACGTGGGAATCTTTATACAACAGGATTTCAGTTTCATCTTGGGATCTTTTCTCTTTATTTCTTCACTCCTTAGATAAACCTATATTTATACAAGTTTGGATTTTGTTTTGAATGTTCACAGCCTGAAATGTGCTCCATCCAGTTATTTATGGTGTAAATATGCTCAGAAAGGAGAATCCCACCACATTTAAGCACATGGGCAGAAACTGTATTTATTGAGTAAATGATTCTTTATGATTTTTGAAATATAGCTGCAATCAAATCCAGTCTGCTTCTATATTGAGTGTGTTTTTGACTGAAGCTCATTTTAAAAGAGGACAAAATAAAAACGTTTTTGCAGAGATGGCTTGTGTTTTTATGTCCAATGTTTTTTCAATGAACCATTCAAACACGATCACATGTCATCAGACGCTATGTCAAACAAATGTCATGAGTCATTGACAAATGAACGTACACACATTTGTGGTTTTTGGATATTAAACACATCAGACACTCAAGAATAAACTCACAATTCCAAAATAATATTTCATGTGTTTCACAAGCATACCACACGTGCTTTGATGAAACAGACTTGAATGTACCACACATCTAACATATTTTATGCATGAGTATATTTTACATTTAATATTAAATAAAACATTTGACATCTAATGAATGTACACAATGCAATGATTTCTTAAACAGACGTTGTTCCTTTTGTAACTAAAAATCATCTCACGTTCATCAGCAGGAAATTCCCACTTGCCTTTTTGTAAAAGAGCTGTATAGATTTCCATTAGAGCACTCTGGTTATGATTCAATTTGATGAATTTCAGATATCTCTTTTTAGCTGTCAGCACACTCAGAGTTGCACAGGTGACGTGTGGCTGCACTGGCAAATAAAGACTGCTGATTGAAAGCAATACGGCGAAATCTCCAATTAAGCCTGTGGACCTGCGGGGGTGTGGAGGTCACCGCTCCGCTCTGCAGCCTGATGGAAGTTCACTGTTTGCTTTATCCTCTCAGGCCTCAGTCATTTTACCTCCACACTGAAAGCCTCTCATCCTGCAGTTATTCCTCACTTTAGCTCCTTCAGCAGCTCCGGTCCTCTCCAACAGCTTTTTCACTCACTGTCAACGAGGCTGGTGTAACTCTGCCCATTAGGAACAAACACTGTTGCTTAGAAACCAGCAAGGAAGCAAGAAGCAATGTCAACAGCAAGGATGAGTGCTCAGGTGTTAGCGAAGCATAATGTTGCCTAGATATCAGCCTTTATTTGTGAAAAAATAAATGGCTCTATCATTCCCATCTAAAATGTATAAATGTACAGTGAGATTGGTTTGGACACACCTTCTCATTCGAAAGGTTTTTAGTTATTTTAGTTATTTTGTACATTATTGATTAATAATAGACATCAAATCTATAAAAGAAAACATATGGAATTAACTAGTAAACAAAAAAGTGTCAAAAAATCCAGAATATGATTTATATTTTTAGATTCTTCAAATTAGCCCCCTTTTGCCTTTCCTTCACTCTGCGGTCCAACTGATCCCAGACCATCTCAATCGGGTTGAGGTCGGTGATGTTGGAGGCCAGGTCATCTGACGCAGCTCTCCATCACTTTCCTTCTTAGTCAAATAGCCCTCACATAGCCTGGAGCTGTGTTTGGGCTCGTTGCCACCTCCACTTTCCGCTACTTCAGACACTTAAAAGGGGCTGTCCGCGCAGCACAGCCTCAGCACCGGGCTGGAGGCGGAGTTCACAACCCGATTTCGGGAATTTCAGAAGTATGGACCCATGTTCTCTTTTTTGATAAAACCAGATGACTTTGATGGACATGAACTGGATTTATCTCTGATGGACTGGCTGGATACAGGTGACATGGAAATGTAGCTGATTGAGCTGAAGACTTCAACACTGCCGAGCTACGCAAACAGCTGGAAAACACAGCAGGGCGTGATCACGGGACGTGCATCTTCACCTGCTGGGGTTCTGTACCAGAGAACTAGCTGTCTCAGGAACATCGCAATGGCTTTGATGACAGTCTTCGGTTCAACATACCTCTGTGAGCAGATATTTTCGCACATGAAGAGCGTGCTCAGCCCCTCCCGCAGTCATTTGACAACTGAGCTACTTAAAGTGACCAAATGCGAGCCCCAGATAATGGAGCTCAGCAAAGGAAGGCAGGGCCAGGGATCACATTGACTGGTAGGCATCTGTGTTGGGAACTGTATGTGTGGATGAGACCTGGGAAAACAATGATCATCTTAATGTGGATTTGGCACAATGATTACATTTTTTTTTTTAATGGCACTAAATATGAAAAAGCTTGCTGACCCCTGGTGTGGAAGAACCAAACACAGCCACACCAGCCCCTCCTCCTCATGCTGTCCCCAGCCTGGTCACACACTGATGTGGGATGGCATCCCGTTTAACCAGTATTTGTCTCAAGTCAGCCAACGTGGTTGTGTTGGACACTCTGGCATGGACAGCACGCCCAAGCTGATCCCACAAGGGTTCAATGGGGTTGAGGTCTGCAGGCAGGCCATCCCATCCTCTCCACTCCCAAACTCTGGAGGAAGTCTCTGATAATCCTCGCTCTGTGGGGGTGAGCGTTGTCATTTTTGGAGGATTGAGTTCGGTCCCAGACTGATATGGGATATGGGATTGCCATTGGTTGCAGAATTTCCTCTCGATATCTTTCTGCATTGAGATTGCCTCCAATGATGAGAAGCCTGGTTTTTCCAGTGAGGGAGATGCCACCCTACGCCATCACACTGCCTCCACAAAAAGATGTTACATGTCTCTGCGTCTTCTCCACACTGACCCTACAACCCTAGCGCCGTAGGCAGAATCTGGATTCATCGCTGAACGTTCCTCCACATGTTGAGGTTCCAGTGCAAGAGGGCCTGATGGTGAAGGGCAGTCATGGCAGGCTCCTGGCAGCACTACGAGACTGTAGATTGGCTGCTGTTTGGCATTGGCAGAGGAGATTTGTCAAATGTTTCATGGCCGCAACCCACATATATAGCTCTGCTGCTCATCCCACAAATGCATGTTCCTCACAAATGTGTCACCCTTTGAAAGGTCAATAAACAGGCTTTCCAACGGTATAAGATGTATTGCCAAAAAGCATTGTTATAACGAAGAAATAATCTACCAAACACAGATTTATTTCCTTTTTGTTTTTGTGTCAAAGGCAGATATGTTAGGACTGTACACTAAAGCTATTTGCAAAGCTGAGCATTTAACAAAGGACTTTATGTCTTGTTAGGGCTTCAGTAACACGATAAAGAGCGATCTCTGTGAGAGGAGCACAAACACTTGAGCCTGAGGGCTGCTGCTCTCTTTTAGTCCACATTTACCACAACGCTTGGTAACAACGATTGGTGTTCTAATTGGATTAACTTGTCTGAGTGTTTCCTGATAAAAGTCTTCCCCCTTAGTGCACACCACCCTCCACCTCTAGGCACTTGGAGGTAGCAGTGCATGTCTAATGGTGGCTCCACGAGGTTAACTTCTGCACTCATTTGTTTTGTGAGCTTTTCTCCGTGGCTTTCCATTCATGTCCGCACATCAGGACATCTCACTGACAAATCATTTACAGATGTTCTCAGCAGAGCCACCTAACAAGCATGTAACAGCAGCCCGGGCTCAGGGAACTCTGTCAAATGAGCATGATGTCGTAAAATGCAAACACTGTGTGAAATAGGTTTCCCCAGCAGGACCGGATTACACAGTCAGGCAGCAGTTTCACTTCCAAATAACAAGGCGAGAGTGAGTCTGACGGGGGAGATACTTCTGTGGTGACCTGAGTTCAACCCCCGACTGAAGCAGACACTCTGAGTTATCGTTTTTAGCAAACATCTTTCTCCTTTAACCATGACCCAAACCAATTTCACAAAAACTACACTCAAAATGTAATGTGATTGGGTTTATTGCTCTCTGGTTGCTTTTATCTATATCAAATACATCAGAAAAGCAAGTTTTAGTATTGAGGTACTGAAAACGTAGTATTACAGTTTTTTTCCATTGCTTACACACATTTTTTAAAACATGGCTCACTTCTCACTTTCTCAAAACCACAAACCCAAAGTGCAAAACACCTCATATGTCCTGCAGAGTGAAGCACTGCACTCAAAACGACATAGACACTTAACAAAAACCAACTTGTGCACCAAATTGAACACACTTCATTCACATTAGCACTCTTTGGCATCTCATCTTGTATGGTCTTTGTTCTGTGTGCAGAAACCCCAATATTATGTTGAAACAAAACATTTTTATTTGACTCCACAACTAATCAGCTCAACGTGCATGCACAGCAAATACAGTTACAGTGGTGTGTACAACAAATATGCTCACTATCAAATACAGTAAATGGAAAATAAAATGTTGAGGAAAACATTTAAAATGTGTTTTTTCCCCAAAACACAGGAAAGAAAAAAACGTAGGCTGCATTTCCCCACGTGGGTCAGGTCAGATCATCACAGGCAACATCTTCCCTGGCCAGACATGGAGGGATGACTCAAACCCTTGATTGATGTTTCCAGGCCCGGACAGCTCCACATCACATCATCACACTCCTCCTCCACTGGCTGCAGAACAGGGCTGACGGTCTCACAGCTTCAACCGCTATGCTGCGAAGAAGTCTCTATTCGTCCTGGCTCGACCTATTCCTCTTGCTGCTCTGTTGGTTTTCAATGTTGTTGTAAAAAGTTCTTACGTGTAGTCTTTTTCTAGTGCTTACATCCTGAAGTGAATATGTCAGATGTATGTGTCTTACTTAGAGAACCGTGTGCAGTGTCTTGCAAAAAGTGCCAAGTTGAATTGCAAATTGGGTGCAAAGCTGAAAATGTGTTTAGAGATAAGAGATAAGGTTTTGCTCTTCAAGTGTCAGGTTAAATAATGGTGCTTTATGTGTCATTTTAGTGTGTTAGCAACTTAAAAAAAACTGTAGTGTGTAATCTGGTAACAATTCAGTTTGGTACAAACAATACTAGTAGTATCCAAAGAAGTAGTAGAGAACAGACAGGGACAACCTGATTATGTTTCAATCTCTCACAGCTCATATAAATGTCACTCATATAAATGTCACTCCCACCTGTCGAGTACGGCTGTACTGAGGTGTTTTTCCCCCGGAGACGTCGCGAAGAGACGGAGGGGCTCCACCTGTTGCTATCTGCGATCTACGGAGGCCTGCTCCCACCTGTAGAGTACGGCTGTACTGGAGCGGTTTTTACCCCGGAGTCGTCGCGGAGAGACGGAGTGGATCCACGCTTCGGGCTTGGCCTGCTTCCACCGGGCGTGTGCTGCTGTGCGGAGGAGGATTTTACCACCGCTGGGGCCTGCTTTCCACCTCCC